GTCACATACATATCTGTATGTGACTAGTATAATTTGGATATAATTGAAATCCATATGTGCTAAAATATGTCATATATTTGACAACAATATATTTTGCCCTTTATCAGATTATTTTTTGGGAGAGTTTTCGAGGGAGATGAACAGGGAAACAGATTTTGACTGTTGTATCCTAGTGATTGTTTAGGCCACTGGATGGCAGCAGAGGGCAAACAAGGGACATAAGGGACCTGCTATACTAATGAACATATTCTCAGTCAGAACTCGTGTAATAATGTGGATGTTCTCAGTTACGCCTCTGTAAGGCCTTTGTTTAGGTTTCCACCCTCCGCTTCAGTTTGTCCCAAATGGAAAAAATATATATATTCCAAAAGTATTTATCAACTATATATTTGCAATTTATGAAAATGGCCAAAATGTATTTGCTAAAAATATTTTTTAAATGCATTAATTTGTTTTTGTTATTATATGTTTCAATCATATGTAGTTTTAACAAAGATTGCAGATATAACTAAATATACATGATCTGAATGAGTAGTACTGACTTCTTCGTTTCGCACTGCACTTTGCATTAACCGTATGTACACACGTGGACAAAATTGTTGGTACACTTCTGTTAAGAAAAAGAAAAAAAAATTACTGAACATCAACTAATGAAAATCAGACAGTGCTTTTGAATTGTGGTTCAAAAGAATAATTTTAAAAAACAAACTAATTAAACTGGCCTGGACAAAAATGATGGTACCCTTAACTGAATATTTTGTTACACAAGCTTTTGAGGCAATCACTGCAATCAAGTGATTTCTGCAACTCTCAGTGAGACTTCTGCACCTGTCCACAGGTATTTTGGCCCACTGCTCATGAGCAAACTACTCCAGCTGTCTCAGGTTTTAAGGGTGCCTTCTCCAGACTGCATGTTTCAGCTCCTTCCACAGATGTTCAACAGGATTTAGATCAGGGCGCATAGAAGGCCACTTCAGTACAGTCCAATGCTTTGCTCTTAGCCATTCTTGGATGTTTTTAGCTGTGTGTTTTGGGTCATTATCCTCTAGGAGGACCCATGACCTGCGACTAAGACCAAGCTTTCTGACACTGGGCAGCACATTTCGCTCCAGAATGCCTTGATAGTCTTGAGATTTCATTGTACCCTGCACAGATTCAAAACACCCTGTGCCAGATGCAGCAAAGCAGCCTCAAAACATAACCGAGCCTCCTCCATGTTTCACAGTAGATACAATGTTCTTTTCTTTGTATGCTTTTTTTTTGGCTTATCAATATGCATTTTGGCAAATTCCAGTCTCACTTTTTTTATGATTTGTTTTCAACAGTGGTTTCCTCCTCGGTCGTCTTCCAATAAGTCCACTTTGGCTAAAACAGCGGTGGATGGTGCGATCTGTCACTGATGTACCTTGACCTTGGAGTTCACCTCTAATCTCTTTAGAAGTTGTTCTGGGCTCTTGGGTTACCATTCGTATTATCTGTCTCTTCAATTTGTCATCAATTTTTCTCTTGCGGCCATATCCAGGGAGGTTGGCTACAGTCCCGTAGACCTTAAACTTCTGAATAATATTTGCAGCTGTAGTAACAGGAACATCAAGCTGCTTGGAGATGTTACAGTCTTACAGCCTTTACCTTTAACATTTTTGTCTATAATTTTCTTTCTAATCTCCTGAGACAGCTCTCTCCTTAGCTTTCTGTGGTCCATGTTCAGTGTGGTACACACCATGATACCAAACAGCACAGTGACTACTTTTCACCCTTCAAATAGGCAGATTGACTGATTACAAGTTTGAAGACAACTGTAATGCTAATTACAGGACACACCTTAGTTTAACATGTCCCTATTGTCAAATTATTTCTAGGGGTACCATCATTTTTGTCCAGGCTGGCTTCATTAGTTTGTTTATTAAAATTATTCTGTTGAACCACAATTTAAAAGCAATGTCTGATTTTCATTCGTTGATTTTCAGTAAATTTTTATTTATTATTACTTTTGTCAGTTTCAAGTTATTTCAGTGACCGTTGTGAGTTTTTCTTTCTTTAACGGAAAGGTACCAGCAATTTTGTCCACGTGTGTATGTAATTGGTAAAACACTCACATGAAATGTGTTTCAAATAAAACAAGTTATCAAATCAGAACTGCATTGTCACAGCGTATCAGTACCTACAACACTTTCTTTTGCCATGTTGAAGATTATTTGCTAATACTTACGACAGTGGAGTCCAAATTCATTTCAAAAGGTATCCAAACAGTGCACTGGGCAGTATTTTGGCTATTTTTACACATTTTCAAATGCATTTGATAAATACATTTACATACTTACATTTTTTGCATGGTATGTTTTTATGTGTAATATTTCCCCATACATTTAAAAACAAATGTATTTTGAAATATACTCTGAAATATATTTTAGTAGAATGTATTTTGTCATGGGTTGCAATGTATCTGTAATGTATTTCTAATATATAAAACTATAAATTTCTTTCTTTAAGGGGTTGTATGGAACAGAAGCAGGCAATATAAAGAGTGGCCTGTTGAAAAACTGATGGATGCCAGCACAGAGGAGAGCCAAATACCACCAGAGCACACACAGGATCACATACAGGACTCAATACAATGTATGCCTGTAAGTTGTTAATGGCATTAACTTACATTGAAAGTTCGGAATTTTTTTCCTTCCTCTGTAAAGTTGATAGATAGATAGATAGATAGATAGATAGATAGATAGATAGATAGATAGATAGATAGATAGGTAGGTAGGTAGATAGATAGATAGATAGATAGATAGATAGATAGATAGATAGATAGATAGATAGATAGATATAAAGCATTGAAAGATACACTAGAAAGGCTACCTTTTTTGCTACATGTATTTTTAAAGTGCAGGTAAGTGGCTCAGTACATGCACCTGTGTTTAATGCTGAATGAACAGTTGATGTCAGTCTCTGCAACTATATTTTGCCATCAATCAAAAGTAATCAGTTACACTGGGAGAGGACAGTTGGGTTGGTGGACAAAGCTCCTGAAGTAACTCCATGGGTTTTTAAAAGGATTAGGGTCAGGGCTCTAACTGAGCTACTCACAAGGACTTGCCACTGTTGCTTTTGGTAATGTGCCTAAAAAGGAGTTCCACCCATTTCTCATAATTCCATAATTACATAACTCAGTGGTTGAGATGTAAACAGTCATTCAGAGTGGTCTAATATGAAATGTGTCGTTGCAGAGAAACTTAACAAAACTTACTGATTTCTTTACAGTGGTGGTGATCCAGAAACCAGGGGTCACTATGTGAACTACACAAATATAACCAGTTTATTTCATTCTAAAGGAACAGTGAACCAACAAACTGTCCTCTGAGCTTTTATATGAATGTTAATAATGAAAAATCAGATGGTAAATCTGAAAAAAACGTTACATTTCTTTAGGTACTATTTTGCTTTACAATGGCATGCATGTATCTTTCTGCCATGAATGGACTACAAAAAATAGAAGCTTTAAGCCAAAATCTTCTCAAAACTACTGTAAAACTCTGTCTCACACATCAGGGAGTGTGTTTGTAACCATGTCATGTACCAGCTTTCTGTGAGGGAGATTTAAGAGACAGTAAGCTCTTCAGACGTCTTATTCCTATCAGCACCACCGTGAACAATTCTGACTCTCTAGGAATTGTAGAGCCCCCAGCTCACTCTCAGCTCCAGTCCTATAGCAATGAGAAACAGATTCCCATCAAACAGTCTACATTCTGCACCATCCATTCATGTGCAGCATTCCCACAGGTATCCCAAAGAGGAACTCCCACCTAAAAGAAGGTTTTCCTTGAGTGACGCAGGCTATGTACTTTTCAGCACACATATTTTACAAGGACGGCAAAAAGGTTATTCATTTTAGTTTAGTAGATCACAAATTCTTACCCAATAGCACTAACATGTTGCTTCTTGTCTTAAAGCAGGCCTGCCCAAAAGTACATGATTTGGCCCACCAGAATGTTGCCTTTAAAAGGAATTCCACCAATTTTTCCAGATTTTCTGCATAATGATTAAGATGTAAAATAAGTCATTTGGAGTTGATATGAAATGCTCTATTCCAAAGATACTTACAGAACTGTTCAGAGTGGTGATGACAACCAAACATCTGAAGCTTCTAATGCCTCTAAAAAGTTCCCTCACAGAAATACACCGAAGAAATACAATCACATGAGAAGCTTACAAATACACTTTGCTGACACTGTTCAACGATATGCTTTAGACTTCTAACATTATTAAAATACATTCATGGCAGAGAGGTATATGCAGGGTGTTGTAAGGCAAAATAGTCCCCAGAGAAAACTCCCCCCACCCTGCTGTATCACTATTTTACCATCAAAACCAACACTTCTGAAAACAGACGTGTAGGTTCACTGGTCATCTTGGATAATAAATAAAATGGCTGCTTGTGTTGCAGAGATCACAACCCCTGGTCCCCATCACTACCACTGTAAAGAAATCTTAAGTGGTAATTTTCTCTAGAATGCAACATTTCACACTACACCAGTCTGAATGACTTTGTTGACATCTCAACCTTTGAATTATGCAGTAATTTTCACTGGAATTCCCCTTTAACCCTCCAAAACTTCAGTCTGCAGACTGGTTCAGCACAGGGTTTACCAGATGAGCAGGGGATGAATTCAAACTAAAAAGGATGGTAATCCTTTCAGCATTCTTGCCTCAATTTGTAGTAACTACTGAGAGGCAGAACACCTAACTGGCTACATACAGCTTCTAGAGGTAGATAACATTTACCCATTATGTCTTTCACTGTAGCAGCAGTAACATCTAGGCTTTAAGACTTAACAACTCGATTCTCTCTTACTTCAAATTGTTCTCAATAAATGTCAAATTACACCACCTACTGTTTGAGCGTAAAAACATCTGCTGGCTCCAGCTTAAAGAATTCATGAACATTCACACACACTTACCTCCCCCCAGCCACACACAAGTACAAGCCACTGTGTTTCCTCTCTGAATGAAAATATAAAACTCACAAGTTTTCTTTATTTACTATATATAGATGTACACCAATTGAGAATTGGTTAAAAGCACACAAATGCTAACATAGGACAGATCTCATCACAGATGACAGAATGCTGAAAATTAAAAGTTCTGAATTACAAATTGATAAAAAAAAAAAGTAGCATTTAAAACCTAGATATTTCTAATGCAAACAGTACCATGTACAGAAGTCTGTGCCACTTTATCAGCTGTCTGCAGTTGCTAATAACCTTTTTTATCTGTACATGACAATTTGTACAAAGAGATCTACCATTTAATAATAGATAGAACATAAAATAAAAGTACATAATATGTACAATATTACATGAAGCCATTTAATAGGGGGCACATACTAAAGGACACTTTGCAATATTTGTTTTTTTTGAAGGAAAAAAAAGCCTCCAGAGATTTTCATTTAAAGCCATTTAATGCAGGAAAACGACCACCAAAACAAGCTGCAGTGTGCACGGGGAGGGATGATACTGACTTTAGTAGTGCTTTAATACATTACATCTTGTAAAGCACTAGCGTAAGTATGAAAATTAAAACGCACTAATCTTAAAAAAAAACAAAAAAAAAAAAAACAGCCCAATACCAGGAAGGAGGAACAAACTCTTGTACTTTTAGGACAATAAAAAAAGAGAATGTGATTGTGGTAGTTCTATATACAGTTTGCACATTCAGATTGAACATTAAAAAGCTAATGCAGGCAAAAAAAAAAAATAATAATAATATATAAAAAGAAACAAAACTTGCAAGCATTTTGAGCCCTAGAATGTCATGAGCTTCTCTTCAGTTCCAGCCACATATCAGAGAATGGAAGTTCAAACAATGGTTCAGATTGAATACCACTAAAAGAAACTGGAAGTAAATGGGAAAAAAAAAACTAGAAGCAGGCCAAACTCTTCTGTTTTAGAACACAAGACAGAGCATACTGACTCAGCATGACCTGATGTGTTTAGCTGTTCTCTTATCTATATTTTTCTTCAAGTTTCATCAGGAAGTGCCTTCTCAGTTGTTTATGAAGTTACTCCACCACCCACTCATATTTCGACCCTTTCAGCCACTGTAACAGACCAGCCTAGTCTCACCCACAGCTAAAACGTAGCAGAGAGCATCTTCTCCAGCTACTCTGGGTGCATTCTGCAATAGAAAATTGCTTCTAAATGAAAGACTTTTGACATTTAGATAATAGAGTTACATGCATCTAACCTGAACAGTATTTTTCTAAAGTCTTCCACTATGTAAAAGGCACTCTATGCAAATAAAGGCTTTGTTTTCCTTTTGGATGTAAGCAAAACTGGTCTTTTATAAATCCGTAAAGCACAAGTATAGGGAGCTTTAATGCTTACAAACGGAACGACTTGCAACAAATGTCTGCACAGCTAACTCTGAGGAACATCCGCAGAAAATGACAAGCTCTGAAAGGAGATCTCTGAATGTACCAAGACCTCTTAATGCCTCGGTAATCCTAGGAAAAACGGTTTAAGGTCCAAATATATTGCTAGATGATTCCTCAACACGTTTCAGGTTCCACAGATTTATTCCATTAAAACAGTGCAAAATACACACAGGAGAAGCACCCAACTATTTACCATTGTTTGAACAACCACACTCAGTCAGGGTGAACTTATTGCCAGCTGTATTGTGTAGCATTTAAAACATATTTAAAATAAAAGAAAGAAATTGGCACAAAACCTAATTCCTACAGAGGAATACTCTCCTTCAGAGATCTACCATGGATAGAAGCCTCCAAAAGACAGGCAAGCTCATCTGAAAAGAAAAATACATACCATAAAGTTTCTGTTGCCAGTGACACTTGGCTGACAGTCCCCATTGCTGGACAAGATAACACTCAAAAACAAACACACATAAAATGACATGAACCACCAGTCTGAGGCACAAAGCTGGAGGCAATAGCAGCTGTGTCCTAGCACTGAGGAAAAAAACAAGGTTGGAGATGTACATGCGTTTCCACCCAAAAACTGCGCTCTATCGTCTTCAAACGGGGTAGAAAGGCTTTCGCTCATTTTAACACAATGGTCAGCAGTTGTACTGCAAGTGCTCCTTTGTCAAAAACACAACCTGTTCACATTTTTCACCCTAGCACCTACATTTCAATGATCAACAACGATAACCGATGGTGGGGAAGCGGGGGGGGCACTGTGGAAAAATACCACAAAAAAGTAAAAGTACACCTGAGAAAGTCTTTTTAAAATGAAAGAAAGAGGAAAGAGACAGAGAGAGACACAGAGAGACAGAGAGAGAGAGAGAGACACAGAGAGAAAGATGACCAGCGTAGGGGTCTGGGCAAGAGAGGGTCACTGTGGCTGTTCTTGGGAGCAGAGCTGGGTGTTTCTCAGGCCACATCAGGCTGTCCTGTACTGCTGCTGCTGCTGCCATCAGTGCTATGCTGGGGCACTTTGCACTGGGCGTGCTGTGCCCGGCCAAAGGAGGCTGGGTTGAGTCTGGGCTTCTCTGGTCCTTTAGTGGCCGTCGTGGGTGGTTATCATTTCCTCTGCACGCCGGTGCGTTTCTAGGGCCTTAACTGTAGACATGTCCTGAGGCAGCTCTGATTTGCGGCGCATCAAAGGGCGCTCTTTCCTCTGGTCCCTCTGAGGCTAAAGCACAAAAATAATCATGCTGGTGAATCTGCTATTGTAACTGTTTATAAGGGCATTAAAGAAAAATATGGGGAAAAACACCCAAAACAAGTATCACTGGATGTTGGTCAAGTGCCTCACTGTCACTTCCAAAGTACCAATTTCAGAGTTTCAGAGTAGGCTAGACCCATGACTGAAGACAAGACAGTGATTAGACTAATCAGAGTTAACTTTTACAACTTAAGTAAAATATCTTGTTGTGCAGAACAGTTAAAACAGAACAGAACAATATATAAACCTGCAGTGTGTACCCATAAGCACACAGTAGTTTCTCGGGCTCTACAAAAACGGTGCTGAATGTTGTTTCACATCTGAATTTTTCAAGTTATCTGTCTGATATCTGTACTTTTAAAAGAAAAACATGCATCTCCAAAATAGCAAATATATAGGAGATGGCAAAAAATGTTTAATTATAATGTAAGTTAATATAATGAAATTTTATTTCAAGCGATTTTGGAGCATTTCTGAAGGTCCATACATCATGAAATTTACAGAATGTGAAGGGCAGTTGCTGAGTGCAAATGATGCAGAACACACACACACACACACACACACACACACACACACACACACACACACACACACACACAAAAAAAAATTCACAGTGACGTGTCCCCCTTTACTCACGTTTACGTCTCTGATGCATGCTTGCATCAGAAATTGCTTTGTGTTGTCGGTCACTAATTTCGATATCCCCATAGCCAATTTTGATACTACGTTTAAGTGCCAGTATCGGCACAACACCAACAATTACATAACATTACATGACAATGTGCTTTTCTGAGCATAACATGGATATCATAAGTACTTAAAAGCTGCAGTGTGTACGATTTAGTGGCATCTAGTGGTGAGATTGCAGACTGCAACCAACTAAAGACTCCTATCTCACCCCTCTCTTTCCAGGTGTGTTCTAAAACCTACAGTGGCTGGCATGTTTCTGCTTCTTTGATGACAAAAATTCACCCTCCCTTGCTTTTTCTTGTGCTAAATAACCAGTATGAACCTCCATTCGACAAACTTCTCACAAGACAAAACGGTTAGCCAGCACCGACAGCAACCACTGATTTTTCTTTCTCCATCTTTCAATCAGTGCTACTAAATTCAAGCTGCCTCTTCAATATGAAAACAGAGCCAGCGTTTAGTTTGTCCATTCTGGGATAATGTGGAACGAGGTTGCAACATAGCAGCCTCTGCTGGAAGAGGACCAGCTCCCTATGAAGGTATGAAAGGCTCATGCTAAGCAAATGAAAGCACAACGATTTGTAGTTACAAGTGATTATACAATAATGATCACTTGTAACTACAAATCGCTGTGCTTTCGTTTGCTTAGCATGAGCCTTTCATACTTTCATAGGGAGCTGGTCCTCTTCCAGCAGAGGCTGCTATGTTGCAACCCCGTTCCACATTATCATTTCTGCTAACAAATGCATAACATGCATAACCTTTCAAAGATTCTGAAATATTTCATTGAAAAGAAAAAATAAATTAAAAACATTACATGGCAAAACAATTAAACTTTTCTTCATACTCTGGTTGAGACAAGCAAAAGAAACATCTGAATTGGTGATCTTTTGTAAATGAGTAAACTTGACTACCTTAAAATGTTTTAATTGAACTTAAATGTGCTAAGCTTTCCTTAGCATGACATACAACATCAACTATACTGGGAAACGCTGGCCATCTCACTAGCCATGATCAAAATGTGTCAAGCTACAGGATTAGAAACGTAGTTAAAAGTTATTGGCAGCATAAAACCTTCTCCTTTCTAAAATCAAGACAATTAAAGGGCACTGGGTAATTACCTGAGTAGCTTCCTCTTCCACTGTCTTTTTAAGCATCATGACATCATCCATCATTGCGCCATCTGTTTCAATCTCCATTGGACTGCTCAAGCTGGTGGAGTCAATATACATGAGGAACTATAAAACACAAATTAGCAACAAAAATTAATAAACTGTACCAAATCTTAACGTAGCACTAAAAACACATGCTATACTGTGTCTTTTTAAATCCGTTTTTCAATCTAAACAGAAGCTGAAACGTAATAACTAAATTTAAATAAAGTCTGTTTACACTTATCCACTTCATGCATCCTGGGCTCACTGGACTACTATCTGATCATGAAACAGCCAAGTGTAACTAAGACACATTGGAGATGGTCTGCTATCTGACTGCTCAAATCACTTCAGGAGCTGGTTTAAGACACAAAAGCCAAGTGTAAATGTCTGTTTCTTTAAGATGAATATGTAATCGCTACCCCCCTCAAATGGAACTGCTTCAGTAGACGTTAGCTATTGCTAAATGGCTACAACAGGTCGATTTTAATAAGCATCTCCAGAGGTATGACCAGGCAGAGATGAGAATTCCATCTAGACAAATGGATCTGCAATCGATTGTGTAAGAAAGCAAACATTCTAAGCTGCATAGCCTTTCAGGGAATGTACCCAACATTATCCTCTCCCACCTGTATCGACTCCTCTGTCTCTCACGCACAGAGCGCTTTCATTAGTGAAATTAATCATGGATAACAACACAAAAGCTGCACGCAACAACTCCTGCACCTTTTACACTATAAGCATCATAAAAACTGAGCTCTTTCCATGGCTCCAGGCATCACCTTGGCAGATGCTGGAAGACAATTCCCTGGATTTGCATATAACATAGGAAAAATAGCACTAATGCACTAGCACTAATACTGGATTTCTGTCTTTTATCAAGTGTACATGTAATGTGGCTAAATCTTACGAGGACATTATCTGCAAATGAAATGTGTGAAATGGCAATGTGTAAATACGCTGAATAAAATGTTGTGCTTTTTTGCAACTCATTTGCATCTACAGGCATCACCAGACATTAAATATATTCCCTAATTGTGCTTTGGTAGGTATGTAATGCTAAAATTTTAAATTATGGCTTATTTAAGGAATGTTTCAGCATCCATTTCATCTTTAGTACGTGAAATGTTCAACAGTGAGTTTGAGTTGGGCCACTGACTTCACCAGTTAAGAACAATGCACTTTTGGTCCTGAAAACTTTTGCAGCGGCCTGGGTTTTGAGTCACTACCTTATTGTAAGATGTAGCCCTATCCACTCCAAGTTTTAAAGCACTTCAGAATTCTTTCTGTTGCTGCCATCACCAATCACATGAATAAAAACCAGTAAGCCAGTGCCACTGATAGCAATACTTTCACATGTCAAGTTTCACAGATTAGCAGAAACAGTCTGAATAATGGTCAGCCACCCCCCACACACATGTATCGTGCTGTCGATCTGTTTTCTCTCTATTAATTAATCCAATTAACCACTGCTGTGGTGTTCCATGTGCTGCCGTTTTGTTTGTCAGTAGGGCTGCAACAACGACCTGAATAAATTGCTAAGATTGTTAAGTTAGTTAGCAACAAATCTCATCACTGAATAGTTGGCTTGACAATGCTTATGACAGTTTCTCGTAAACTCCAAGATCGACCTCACCTGGCACGGCTGAATTACTATCATGAGTGAGAGAAAAAACCCTGCAGGCAGAAGCTTAGCAGGGTGAGCAAGATAATAATAATAAAACTGTAGTCAAATGTCAAAAAAGCTGCATTTCGAAATAGTTTGTCTAAACTGAACGGCTAAATTAGACTGTTCCATTGCTTCAGTTAAGTTCTGAAATGTTGCTTTTTCCTCTGTGTTTTGGCATCCTGGCTACACAAAACAGTGTTTTAGGTCACTGAAAACTGAGCTTTTGGATAATGTTCTTCATACTGAAGATTTTTTAGTATTTTCTCTGCAGAAGGGTACAACTCGTCTTTAAAAGTGCTGGCCTAATGCCTGTGGTCAGTGCTGTTTTACTAATGTTAAAGAGAAAATTGGATTAAAGTAGTATTTTCAGAAGTAATACAAAAGATCTGTTAACACTGCCTTGGAAATAGTCCTTTTTTGATGGTAAATGCCATTTAGAAGATCTAATGATGCAGCAACACACAGGTGTCCAAGAAACAACTAAGCAGGGAACTGTCTAATTACTTTTCCAGCCAGGGCTATGTTGAGTACTATGAATTTTGCCTTTACAGTCGAGAGAAATACTCACCTGTGGATTTGACTTGGCAAGGTTCTCTATCTTTATCCATGCTTCCTCACGCTCTTTCCATTTTAGCTTCTCTCTAAAAGACACAAAAGACAAAAACACTCACGTAAGCTTGAATGTGTAGAAGTGAAAACAAGACTGGAACTAAAAGATGATGAGAACTGTCATACTTATTTTTCTCTGCTCTAAACTGCTGCGTGCAGTCATCAAAGAGTTTCTGATTCATCTCCATAAAGAGCTTCAGTGCATTGTAGATCAAGCCATGGATGGTCCTGAAGGAAAGGATGGCAAGAAGAAGGAACACTTAATGTTATGCCCAGATTATTTACCTCAGGTCACTCAACATTTGACAGTAGCATGAAAGCTAGGTTTTTAAAAAACTGGCCAACAGAACAAGATAAAATCAACAAAAGAATCAACATAATTTTACACTAAAGGTTTGTCTGAAAACAAGACAAAGAATAGTTAAGAAGACAATGTTACTGCAGTAGTTGAACAGTTTTTGTAGCTACACTTCTCTTGCATGCACAAATTCTATTACATTAACACATATCTGATTTGGATAAATTCATATGCTAGGATTTTTGTTTTGTCCCATACATCTTTCAGTACAAGATTTTCTTCTTCACAGGACTACTCTGAAACCACTTCGCAACCCATCAAGAGTTTCTTTACCAGAAACAAAGTTCTGGCCTGGTGAAGAGGATCTGACTCACTTGTTCCAGTGGGTTTTGGAGTTGCGGTAAAGAGCAGGGAACATGATGGGCAGGATTCTGGCTGCATTGTCACTGATCAGACTCATTATGTACTCATTGTTCCAGTAGTACAGGGCCCGCTCTGCAACCTGTGGCAATACAGCTTGTCAAAGTCTGGCAAACAAACATGTGACTACAGGACAAACACTGTACACAGAATTCCTTAATAACCCAGAATTTAATCTAAGATAGTTATTATAGTTTCCCCCGTGTGCTAAATGACAAATCTGCTAGAACTACGTAACCCCTTGCACGCTAGACTTATTAATCAAGTTATTAATCTTAAAACATATTATTCATCAACTTTATTTGGTCACTCCTATAAACTAACAATAAAATTATGCATGTGAAGAACTGAACAATCAGCCCACAAACAGACCTTTAGAGTAAAAGGAGTTAATCGATTATTTATCAATACTTATGCCTACATGCAAATAGAGATGGCAAACATCAGCAGAAATGTCAAAAAATATCATCTATACACCTTCATATATCATGAGATTCCTTATGTTGGACAAAGAACCTATAGTTATGTTTACATTACAAGTCTCATTTCCTAATTTAGATTTTTTACTCAGATATCATCTTTCCATCTTTGTAACATTATATTCACATCATATCTGTAATAAGGTGAACAAACTCATGCTCTGAAAAGCCCTGCATGCGCACTTCTAACCCAATAACGTCACCTCATGAATGTATCTGGTCTAGGACCTCATATGAAAGTGGTTCAGATCAAAGTCCACACAGCTCTGAAAACATCTATCTGCATCATATTAAGGCAGAAAAGAAACCGATTTGTGTCACTTCATCTCAGTAACGTGAACATAGTTTACTTGTCAGAAAGTGGACAAAAAAATAATGGTGCAGGGGCCAGATTTAACGAAAGGCCTATTTACACCTCGCATTAAGATGTATTTTTGGTGACTGAACCACTTTTGGATTTTACTTGATCATGAGAAAAGCCAGGTGTAAACACACCCAGGATGCGTTGTACGTATATATCGTCTCGATCACTCAAACCACATTCAGAGGTTGTCAGAGATGAAAGCTGACTGCATTTAACACAAGTGTAAACACAATGCATTTTCGCTATCTGTATTCAATTACGAGAGCAGAAATGCGTCTGCCAGAGTAAACAATAAAATGAAAGATGGAGGATACGCAAGGTTGAAGTTAGCCCCAAACCAAGAGCCTTCATGCTGACAAAAGCGTTTTGTCACCTCATATCGTAATGGGGAAAGAATAAACAAAGGTAAAATGGAAACAACATGAGCGTTTACGTGCTTTTTATGCAGGAAAAGTACAATCAGATCAGATCTGGTCAAACTGGGAATACATTTTAGTGAAAAGTTTAAATGGAATCTGGCTAAAGTTTATCCAGAAACGATCTGGACACAAAACACTAATTCAAGGTGTAAAACAGGCTCACAGAGAGAGATGTGGAGGTTTGATTGTCCAATTCCAATACCTCAATGGGATTTAAATCCGAACTTTGACCAGGCCATTCAAAATATGACCAAACTGTGCTTCAGTTGCAGTTCAATTGTGCCACACTTTCATCTGTTACTATAATTATTAAATCTATTAACTATTGATTAATAAATTAATCTAAACAGAATGCCTACTTTGGTCCCTCTTTCATTGTCATTATTCAAAATTCCATCTGAGCGACTAGGAATTTCTTCTTTTATGATGCAGGGATCCTATACAGATACCTCATAGTGTCTGTGAAGTAAGATTCTCGCCTCCCAAAGTCATCTCATTGTTTACAGAAGTCTTCCAATAGCAATTCTGCAAAATTCTCTACAGCTGAGTTGGCCAGATACCTTTGCACACATGACTACATGTCTAAATGCGATGTCTTTTTCCATTACCTTTCCTAGCCACAGAATGGGGGCTGATATTCAATGCAAAAATGCAGAAAATGAAACTACGCAAATACATAGTACAGCTTTGTGCCTACAACATATTTCCCTTTATTCAAATATTCTGAAAACAGTGTAGGCTGACCTGAAAGTGTGGACTGGAGACACATTTAGCTAACTGCCTGAAGAGTGGCTCCATTACTTTGACAAATTCGGAAGGTTCGATGACATCCAGGATCTCCTCCAGCTCATTGAGGAACATCACCTCCTTTGGACTATGAGTCTTTGGCCAGTACTTCAGAAGAGCCATGACCACCTTTGGAAAAAAACGTTCTGTAACTCCAGGTTTAAAAAATACAATATACAGAGCAAAAAAGACAGCACATTACTGAAATTCATTTAAGTTACCAAAAACCATGACCATAGATGGTCATTTTGTTGTTGGTTTTCATCCCCCCCCCCACCCCCACAAACCTGTCAGCACCAACTACCTAACTCAGTTGATGCTTCAGTTTACAGAGAGTATATGAATAGAAAGCAAACAGCATGTTATGCAAACCTACATAGGAAATAAGGCTGCCTGACTGCCAAAGGCCAGATACAATCACACTTCAGATACAGCAACTACCAAAGGTTACTAAAACGAATAAAGTTAAACTCATTTAAAGAATTCTAGTAACTCTAGTATTTTCAGGGAAGTTCTGATAGCTTTTTGAAGTCTGTACAGCACTGCCTGCCTACAGCAATGCTTTATAGCTTATTCATAAAGTGTCAAACATTTGGCGAGTAATACTGTGAACAAAGAGGCAGAACGTACTGGCTCAGTGAGGGTGCTGTCCTTCTCCAAAAACTGTACCACACAGTATGCCAGCTACACAGACAAAACAAAGAGAAAATGAGAGAGAGGGAAAAAGTGAGTGCTACAGTGCCATTTGCTCATGCATCTATCTATCTATCTATATCTATCCATATCTATATATATATATATATATCTATATATATCTATATATATATATATATATATATATATATCTATATATATATATATATATATATATATATATATATATATATATATATATATATATTCACTTTTCTGACCTGAAAAATCTATCACCATCCTCACATTTCACCTACAAATCACACTACTACTGTCCATGACCTGCTGCTAGGTTACTGCCAGGGCACAGAAGTTAATTCTCCTGTGCAGTTTGCTGGCAAAAAAAGGACATCTGATATAAAGAAGGTTGAATTTTTTTTTAATTACTTATACTAAAAAGTGTTTGTCAGCAAGCTAAGCTACAGGTTAGATAACACTCATTGACTACAACATACGTTTGTTAGAAAAAAAGTGATATGTGGGGAAACTGTCCTCTAAACAGTGTAAAGAAAGTAAAGTAAAAGAAAACATTCATATTTGTAGAAGAAAAATACACTTAAACACACACAAACCACACATTTTTTGGGAGTTGTTTTTTCCCTTAGTAAAAGTATTGTTTTTCTTTTAGGAGTACGAGTAAAAATATGAACAATGGAATTCTTTCCAATTTGTCTGAATGCATGTCCAAAAAACAAATAAATAAATAAATAAATAAATAAATAAATAATAGACGACAGCGTTCTGGTCACAATAAGCCCACATTTACTTAGACACAAATCTGTTAGAAAGTCTAAAGGTCATGTCCCGTGCGGTGCTCCTCCACACTGTGTGGGCTGTGGGAGTGTCTTGTGCATCACTAGTTTTCATTTCTCTATAATTCCATTAAGTTTACAGCCAAAGTACAGTTAGCTTCTGAAGACAGATAAAAGCACATTATGACACATAATTCATACCTGTGGGTGGTAAACACTGAGAGACTTGACTTTATGCAAAGGCAACAAAACTTTCAATAGGAAAATCTTGTGCTCTTCTTTCAGCGGTAAGGCAAACCCGTTGATTATGCTGGAAAAAAGACAGAGGCATTATAACTCTCATACGGATACTGTAAAAAGATTTGCAAAAACTTTATGAAAAAGGTTTGAAGTAACACACCTTCCTAATATTTCCAGTAACTCAGCTATTCCGTTATGATGTTCAGTTTCATAAATGAACCTGAAATTAGACAGTTTTGGGGGGAACATTTTTAGAGATTTAGCCAGACTGCCAGCTCACAAACAACTTCACTGGTTGCAATTTCTAATGCCTTACCTATAGAAAATGTTATTAATTTGCTTCCTGATGTAGGCTCTAAGGCCTAGAAATTTGCCATAAATACGATGCAGAGTGGTCTTCAGGAAGTCTCTTTCCCGAGGGTCTTCACTGTCAAAGAGTTCTAAAAGCTGAAAACAAACCCACAATTACTGGGTTTTACTTTTAAAGGATAACAACGCAGGACACAAACACCAAAAACACTGTAAAGTCATACCTGCATGACAAATCTCTGGTCGATGTACTTTTTGGCTATGTTTGGCTGGAAGTCTGGGGACTCTAAGAACCGCAGAAAAAATTCATAGACAAGCTGAGGAAGGAAAAAGACAAAGCACAAAGTGAATGAGCAGTGTAGTGTGGACCGATGTTGAGTGTATATATGTGAGTATGCATGTACACATACCTGCAGGTGTGGCCAAGCAGCCTCTAACGTGGGCTCATCTTCTTCTGGGTCAAATTCTGCCCCTGTTGGGTTGGATGAGGGCGGTAATGTCCTAAACATGTTAACTGCAAACTGCAAAAGACAAAAAATAATATTGAGCTAATCAGATGGAGTAATTCGTTCCCCTGACAATACTACGCACTGATTACACAAAATAAATAATTAAATTTAATACTTTCTTTTTTACATTTCAGTATAGCATTTTAGAAAAAATACTGAACTCACTGTGGCTCACAGAATTGGAGTCTGTCACAAGTGCAGGATCACAAATTTAGTCATAGTGGCATAATATTTGTTTAATCTATAATACTTCATTAAATGTGGGAATATTTTTAGTGGAAAAAATGCATTTTAGATATAATTAAACAGCGACATTAACCACTTATCAATGTAAGGTGTTACGCTGCGTTGTTATGGCACAGGCAGTGATGAGACAGCATGTACCTACAAACCCATTTATAAACTTTTGAATTCACAGATAGGGAGTGAATGAGTGTCAAGAGACTGACAAAATACCAACTAACAATATTTTCACACTTTCACACTAGGTTTCTTCCACACCCAAAGCCACTTGCACCGAGTGTTCGGTACATACGGGCAACTGTGAAAGCTGTTTTCAAACTTGAGTGCGGTCCATAAAACAGCACTGGGCGTGCAATAATGTGTCATGTTACTTCCTGTTTCAAATTTTATTTCTTCTTTATGTACACAGTGTGGTCCAAATAATTTTTACTTTCCTCAAAATGCACAATTTAACATGAATGAATTACCAACTGCAATTTATTTTATTAAATGCGAAGTCCTGAGACCACTGCACAAAACACAGTTCTTGTCACTGCCTGCATCTTCAAGTGAGCAATGTACGTCATTTATTGGTGTTGTTGCATGAAATGTGCCATGCTCCCAGCAATAATTTCTAATCATCACAGTTTGGCAAGTGACACAGAATTGCACAATCCATCCATGCTTTCAGAAGGAACTTTCCAGTGTAAACAAAAACTTGTGATAACGCACCCCTCACCCAAACAAGCCATGAACCAGGTTACAGAGCTAAGTGTTCAGACAAAGAATAAAGCAAACTGCTAAACTGCTAAAAATCACACTGCAAAGACACTCTTCAAGTCTCAAACATTTGAAATGACAGCTTTTGGAAAACCACTGCATTGTGTTGTATTTTGTACAAACCTGTTCCTATTCATTTGTTCTCAAAAAGCACAGAAGTTTTAACTGGAATGTATAGGAGCCTGTACAAACAAGTTAGCACTGAAACCGTTCCTCACATGAGCACGCTGAGCCAATATGAAAACCTACTTGTTTCCCGCAGTTACTTTGGAATAATAAATCATGTTTTCAATTGTACTTCTTTGTGTGCTAAATTGTTGTGCAACACCAGTGCTGATACTTAAAAATGCAAGTTTGCTGTTGTTCTCAAAATTAGTCGGAATGCACAACCATAGCTCAGACAGCAGAAATGCTGCATTTTTGCAGAGTTTCAGTGCCTCACACTTTTCAGAAAAACATTAAGGTTTAGCATTATGAATATTTATATCATAACAAATTTACTTTTCCAACTTGGTTAATAAACAAAGCCCATTATCTCAGTGCCTAATAAACGGCTTAGGTTTCACCATACTGAACCTTAATTACTGTCTTGCCTGACAAAGGCAACGCAGTATACACACAAAGAAAATAAACGTAAGACTGCACTCTTCAGGGTTCAGACTCTTCCCTCCACTTTGATGATAAAAGCAGAGAACTTCAAAGTGTATGTTTTTAATGGGGTGGGATGAGGGAACTCTAGGGTAAGAGTATATTATCATGCTGATTTTGCAGGGCTTTGCATTTTTTTTTATTCTCCTGCACTGATCAAATACAAGCAGAATCAGAAGAATGAGTCAATTTGCACTTCGATCAGCAGTGGTTTCCTGCTTAACATGAAGCTCAGTCTTTGATAAATATCAAAGGGATGTTATTCAGCACGGAAATGGCTAACGTTGGCACCAGAACACTTTGGCCAGGTCCACTAAAGCGCTCCCTGCAAAACGAAAAGTCTCTGGCCAATGCTCCATAAAAGGAAAGGTAAGGAAAGATCTGATGCACAGTCCAACAAATGAGCTCTAGCTTTTAATATAACCTTTTTAGGGCTGACTGATGACTATTAACAACTTAAGATTTTGATTTGGAGGAGCCCCTACACAAGAGTGTAAGCACTGCCTACAAAGAATTCAACAGAAAGACCAATGAAAAGAACATGACCTACAGGCTCAACACTGAGCCATATTTTAAACACACTGATTTCCAGCTTTTCAGGCTGGTCTGAATTAAATTGCACCCCTCCACTAGAGATTTACCACAGTAAACCTCAGGTGCTCGAGCCAATCACATTACATGTTATTGACTTACTGAGAGTCTGTCCTATTATATGCACTTTGTGGCATCAGTATCTGTGACCATTTGTAAGAATAAATCTGTAACCACGTATAAAGAGACTGCAATATGGAACACCACTGTGCTACTTTGATTACTGGAGAAGATACTCCGTGTACCTGAGAACACAATGCTAAATGAGAACTCCAACACCAAGCAAAACCATGATGGACAACATCCTGGGAGAAATCAGTGCTCCAGAAAATGGTAATTCACTCACCATGTGTACAACCTCTGGGTAGATGGGCTCGGTGATTACGTTCCTGTTGTGCGTGATATATTCCACCATCTCGCTGAGCGCCGCCCGCTTTACCTCCTTCCATTTCAGGTCACTCAGCGGGTCGGATACAAAGTCAAAGAGCACACAGCACTGGCGCAACTTCTGCACGAACAGCTTCTCCTGCTCTGCTGGGGGCACATCTATAGCAAGACAGGAAGAAAGGCATAGACTGAAAATGTATTTTTGACATTTTCTGTGCATCCATTTTCATGGTGTTGGTTTAGAAATAACAATAAATAAATAAGTAAATAAATATATAAATAAACATTAAAACGTTTAAGATTTTACCTAAAGGGTTTACTTGGGGATACGCAGATATGTGGGCCAACATCCAATAATCTTCATGCACACATCTATCAATGCATAACCATCAATTTTGTGTGGACATTGGTACTAGATATGCATAGATTAGCACTGCAGACAAATAATACTTTTTTCACTAGGGTTACAAATGCAGTAAAAGGCATCACCTAAACTTTCTGTTCTAATAGAGCACAATAAACATGTCATCAAATATCGGTCAAATCAAAACTTTAAGCAAACACCTGCTGATACTGATATGATCCCAAAACCACTGCACATCCCTAGTCTTACTCTATGAAATAGCATAAAGTCAGCCAGACAAATCTTGACAATACACGGATCAGGCATGCGCCGATACCATTTTTTTCGGGCTGAGTACGAGTAGACATTTTTAGTACTCGCTGATTCCAATACCATACTGAGTAACCTACTTAGAATAAGGTAGTTGTCAGTGTAAATGAGTGCAATGTTCCTTAACAGTCAAATCATTACAACCTAACCGGACTAAATGAAGTACAATAGCTAGCTACGTGATTAGTTACTCTGGATTGAGTAGTGCTGCAGTGGAGAAGAGTGGATTTTGTTCCTCACCAGAAAAGTTGTAAGTACGGTATGTAATGTACAGTATGTTATGCAGGTTTAAACCCTGATCTGTCTCTCTGAACAACAGTCTCTGTAGCGCAGCAACAGCAAGAATCACATCCAAGGCCAACGGACCGGAAGAGCTCACTTGTGGAGTTTCACGTCTGAAGTATTGTGTATGACTGGTTGAGCTGTAGTTGAACGTGCTCTAAATCCAGGCGTACACTGTGTGATTTCAGAGATCTTGTTCTTTGGTGACACTGTATGTCTAAATAGTCCATAATGTATGGATAAATCCTACAGTTTATATCCGCACACTGCATTACACGCTGTTACTTCTATGTGAAACATGCTGTCCATGGACAATTTCAAATAACATACAACATTGGGCACTGAAGCTAAAAGTCAGGCGGTGATGTACACGGTAGGACAATACTCTTTACAAGTCTCTTTACAGCCTATAAAATCACTGTATTAACGTTTACACCTTTTAAGTCTATTCGGTCAAACAGAGTAAAGTCGGCACAGATGGACATTGGTAAAAAATGTCTCCATGTCTCCACCCATACTGGGGACACAGCTGTGATTGTGTGTTTAAAAATGGGCTAAAATCACACAGTGCAGGTCTGGTGGGAATCTGCCAAGGAGAATAGCTGAAAGTGAACAGCAGCTTTGTGTCCGACTGTCACGTGGTCTGTAAGTCCTTTGTGTGTGAGCAGAGCCTCCTTCGCCGCGTCTGTTCATTAGTGAGACAGCTACACTCGGCTAACGTCAGACTGTCAGCGGATATCGGAACATTAGTATCAGTGCATTTTTATGAGTAACAGTACGAAAACAATGTGCACGGTATCAGCTCCATACCCGATACCAGTATCGGTATCGATGCTTCCCCAACAAGCATAAATGATTTGCGCTTTCTTTGTGGCTACAGCAATTGTGGCACAATAACTATGCCAATAGCCATGCACACCCACCCATTACAAGACACTATAACAACAACTGGTGAATAGGAAGAGTGCAAAACCTGTGATCTTTGTTTTGTCTCTCACTCACTGTACTTTCTTTAAGTCAACGGAAATACTGGTTGATGTTACGCTGCATCTTTTTTTTCACTTCACACTGCCTTCAAAAGGTCATTTAAATGGGAGTGGCTAGAAGTGTTTAGCTCTGTGGTTGAGGTGCAAAGTGAAAGAAAAAAAAATTATGAATGTTTAAAAGGGTGTTCTACACTACCTTAAAAAATTCATTAGTGTACAAAGAATGCTTGGCTTTAAATCAAAAGTAATAACTAGTAGCTTTCCTTTTCACTGAAGTCCAGGAACTCAAGCCTGGAACCTTAGCACCAGAGCTCGATTTTCTGATATCGTTCCACGGGGATTACGCCCTGCTGTCTGTCTGGAACCTGTAACTGTAGAAACATCAGTGTATTGTAAAGAGAGTCTCAGAGGCAGTTCATTTGCTCTCAAACTAACATCACTAAAAGCGAATCCTCTATAATTTGACTGGCTTTAATGTCAAAACCCCCCTTGAGTACACAAGAGGGGTTCTTTCTGGTCAATCTACTACTTAAGCTTTTATGAAACTGTATCTCAAAATGATGGTCACCTTGAAAAATACATTACTATGTTTCCCATATTTTCATAACACAACAGTAAGTTGTGTGTTTGCGTGCAAGAACGGAGTCAGGGTTCCTAATTTATTATTACACAGAGAGAAATTTGAAAAAGATCACAACCCCAATTCAACACAAGGAACTTCATTCCGTAAGCAGGACATTGTAACTGGCAACTCTTATTAAAGAAAAAAAAGAAAACCCAGATCTCTTCCAAAGAAGAGAATCACAATGAAGTTGTTAGCACACCAGAATAAAAAAGATTTTTAAATTCTAAAATTAAAATTACAAATTACACCTACTGTGTATTTGTTACTGTCCCCTTCAATGTGTAATCCGCTGATGCAGTTCAGTGTTAAAGATGATGCATTTTGTTTCAAAAACCAACAGACAACTGTCATTTCAGGACAATAAACATATTAAAAGTCCTGCTTTAAATGCAGCTCTGACGCTGTACTTTTGATCCAAAACTTCCTACATTCTGGCTCATACAGTGTTCAAAACGATCTTAATGAAAACAACAATACTTTTCCTTGAGTAACATGTCTGAGTGCTCGATACACCTCTGCGCAGCTGTCAGACCTGTTTTTGCATACTTTTCCACTACCAGACACACAGAATTGTAGGACTAGAAGAGGGGTCTAGTTACATACTTCCACTGTAAGTTGCAGGCCATATACCAAACTATTAAAAGACCTGAAAGCCTCAAAAGGAGAAACCTTCCACAGTTTTGATTACAATATATCCACAGGATACAAAACACTATGACTGAACAAGTGACATTTTCCTTTTGGTTTAACATCCACACAGAGGTAAGACACTACTTGCGGCCTTTGATACAGCATAGCATCAGGAGAAGTAAACACATAACTGGCACTATAACAAATCACATTTCAAGGAATTCAAGGAAAGTGGGTCAAGCACCTTATGGGACTGTTTGGTCATCAATGTCCTCTCTGTCTTGAGCATTTTAAACAATATATGAGAGGGACAGAGAATGGGTGCATTCAAAATAAAGATGCCCATCTTAAGGGACCCCCACTATAAACAGCAGGTTTTCAAAAGACAGCTTGGTGGATTTGAGAAAAGCATGAACAGAGAATAGCAGCCTATTTGAAAAACAACAAAGAAATTGGGTTTACACAAAAAGGATGGCTGGGCTGAAACTACAACAAGTCTAACTGCTTCAGAGGGATAGTCCCTCTCTATACACATACACACACTTCCCCAAGCTGTGACCTCACTTCCTTTGACATCGGCAGTCTCAGTGGGGGGATGGGAGAGGCAGAAGACAGTAAAACAGCTCCAACCCCCACCACTCTACCTTCTTGCTCACACTTTCAACTATGCTCCAACTGAGGCTTCCTTGTTTGTTTATTAGCAACATGCATTGTTCCTTTAGTCCTTTTTAACAAAAACAGAATCAGAGCCTAAACCTAGAACACAAAGCAAGCTATTTGCTTTGAAATAAGATGTAGTAAAATATATTATTTTAACCCCAGGACAAAAAATCTCCTTTCTACTCGAGCAAACACAAGAGGGTGCACAGCAACATTCCTATCCCTACCCCCTCCTCCACGGACAATGAAACAGAATGGCTCACCTCTAAAGTGCATGAGGGCCACAGGCTGAAAAGGCCCGTTGGAGCTTGGCGCGTCCAGAACCATCTTGCTCTCCTCCTTAGAGCATGTTAACATTTATCAGTCCAAAAGGAGGAAAGGAGAAGGTTGCTCAGCTAACGCGAGGAGCTAGCATCCATTTCAGCACCACCACTCTCAGCAGAAAATGAAGCTCCACTGCCGCTGGAGGGAATCAGCTAGCTAGTGATGTCATGCACCAAGAGGGTACTGGCAATTGGCTGAGCAGAATCACATGACTTGGCCATGGGCGGGCAAGCTGAGAAGGCTTGTGATTGGCTGTCGAGTTTAAAATAGGGCGGGACATTTGGAGCAAGAAATGCACTGAGCAGACATGTGGATTTCAAGGAAAGTACAGCCAGCTTTCTGCTAACCTTTTCCACAGTTGTTCTCGCACGTCTTGGGCAAAGAACCTTCCAACTAAAATGTCCTATTTAAGTGGGAAAGGAAAAGATGTCATGCTGGGGAGATGGTGATGGAGATGATTTTTTTGGAGGGTCCTGTACATTGTTTCAGTAGAACTTTTACAAATTGAGTAAATAAATAAAACTATTTTAAAAAAAAATAAACAAAAAAGATATATTAACTATAATATATAGACAGCACCACAATGTTCAATTTCCATGATAAATCACATGCAGTTCAGACAAAAAAAACTGAAAAAAAAGAACACACATGTAACTATGTAACTGACCAAGACCCAACACAGCACAGCCTTCCACAAATCACCATCACATACAGCAGCACTGAAAACATATTACACTTCCATAAATGACATCATCTTTTTATTTTTAGTTTTCTGCTGCAGTTTAGGTGTAGCTCACTGCAACTTGTTTGATATTGTCACAGTTGTGACAAATCTTGTAACTCTAAAATGAGAGCGGTGCAGAAAAAGGAAAAAAGTTATTAACTTTGAACTGAAGTTAATAGAATAAGGAACAAGATTTTCGCTGCCATATCAAAACTGCAGATTGGAGGAGTTGCAATTTTAATAGCCTACATTTAGAAAATTAAACCCAACAACACAAAGCTTGTACACTGATGCCTGTAGATGATGACAACATGCTCTGCCCATTTTTGTGTTCTCCCTACAATGCCTACCTGACCCAGCAAACAAGGAGCTTGTTAATTAGAGTAGAATCAGGTGTGTAGAACATGCACAAATATGTGCACAGTCCCAATGACTGGAACTGGGAACCGCTGAATTTGACCAATCAGAAGCAATGAGCTGTGTACATGACAACACAACTACAACTAACTGCCAATGTGGCACAGTATGTTTAGCCTTCAAATTTAAGCCAGAAAAGTGTATGTGCTGGTATTTTTGGAGAAAATAACAGGCCTGAACCCTAATTTCTAGAAAACAGTCACAATTTAAAAACATTTGATCACCAAAAAGAAAAATAAAATCTCAATTTAAAGCCACAGTCACAATATCAGTCAGAAAACCTGCAATTAGATACATTCCCTAAATCATTCAGCCCTAGTAGACAGTGCAAAGTGAGCTCTTCAGACAGAATTACCACTGACACTTTTACTGCTGATGGTGAAAGGAAAAAAAAGACAACACAACACTTTTGCTGCCATGCCACTGTGACATAATTTCAAATATGCAAGATAAACAAGCAACCACACTGAAGCAGTGAAGTGCTGACAGGAAACCACACATCAGCTCGTTCTCAGCAGCGGGCCTGCAGCTGCCATACGTCGCCTCATCCGAGCTGAGACACAGATGATACAGCGCAAGAGGAAGACACCCACTCCCTACCACTGAGTGACAGGGTAATTTAAGCTACATCACAGCCTGAAAGGTTTATTTCTGATGCATCTGTAAGGAGACTCCATTATTATGACTGAAGTCTAAAATACTGAAAAAAGTGCTTATTCAAACTGTACGTCTGTTTTTAATATAACTCTAACATGCATTTCAACTAGAAAAAAAAAGGCCTTCTAAAGAAATACAGCTGCGATAAAAAAGCAATGCATTGTCCTTAGTGTAGTTTGACAAACAGTAGAGGCAATGTATTACAGCAATCGCTCTACAGAAGACAACCCGCAGCATCTGACAATCAATAAACATGGGAGTAGGTAAAATGACAAAGGGCTTGGTTCTTTTAACAGCTAGTGTTCAACAAGTTGAATTACACCACAGGCTCTTCTACTCCATCTGAAGTCAAAACAGAGGGGAGCAGACTAAAAACAGCACTGAGACAGAGGCATTGATCGGCATCAAAGCATATGACCTGAACATAATGTTTCAGAGAGAGGACACTGCAATTCTGGGTCATATATTACAGGAGACTCATGTCTGCAGGGCCCCCTCATAAAAGGCTTATCTGCGCTTGTGGTTCATTTTAAAAGAGCTCCTGTTGTTCTTACATCCCATTACAGTCATGAACTGCCCCTGTGACGAGTTTTGCTTTATTTTCAGCCACATTCAGAACTAAAACAGACTTCAGTACAATACTCTGTTCTTTAGTCTATCAAGAAATAATCGCCATTAGTTGGTATTACAGTGGATTAATCTATGTATTCACTTAAAGCTGTTTAAAATAAGAAAACTGCCTGACTATAAGGCTGACACAGTGTGTTAAGTGTAGTTGAATTGTCAGTGAAGATCTTTTATGATTAACTCCATACAAATTTACTTAAGAGCAGACTACAATGCTTCAAACCCAAGCAAGTCAAACATATGCATCTGCACCTGTAAGAGCAACAGTAACATGTACAGAAATAAAGCCTGTAAACTGTTATTTTGCTTCTGCTGTGGACACTCAAGCATGGTATTTGCTATCAGACAACGCTCACTTTTACCACTAGAGGGAAGCATTCCTGAAGAGCAGCTATGGTCAAGCAAGTCTGCCCTATTGGTCAGTCAAATCAAATCAACACAGATTCATTAGAGGCAGTCTTGCACTGAAAAGATGATATTTTGTACAGATCTAAAACACTATGCCCAGTTTTTTATTAAGAGCAAAATTAAAAGTCACATAAAACTAGATAATTCGTTTTCAGCAAGTCTGTAAATAAATACAAATATGAAACAACTGTTCAGTTGAAAACAATATTTACTAATATTTACAAATTTTGTATTAAATATTAACTTAAACAAGACTAAGTTACTAAGTTCAAATTCATATTCTTTCACTAATTTCACAGAGTTGCTTCTTAAATCAACTCTAGTAAATAGTTGCTGAATGCAATGGTTCAAAACAGAACACACTATAACTGTATACACTAAACTGGAGCACATTATAAGTTATGCACTGTACACTGTATGCAACTACACTGTTTACAAGTGCTTTATGAGCTTTTACAGAGAAAGAAAGACAGTGGGTCTGTACTTGTCTTGGCATCAGCACATCCAGAAACATAAGGACCAGAGAATTAAAGTTATCTAAGGATTAGCCCTAAATATAGCCACTTGAGTTAAACCCAGGACGAAGTCTCATCCCCTTACGCCTATGGTTGTTTCCATGATTTTGTATTACATAACTCAGCTTCAAAGGAGGTGCCAAGATCACTTATACTACTTTTAGTCTGAATGTAAAACCTATCAAATGTGAAAGTGTTTAAATGCCATTTGTCTAGAATTCTTTTCTTCCCCAATACTTCAAGTATGCAGTCCATATGACCTGACTGCTCCAATGTTAACTACAGTTCCTTGGGAGAATAGTACACATAAAGCTTTACTGAAATACTTATTGACATGTTAGATATGTTTCTAGAGTCTCACATGAAGAGTAATTTCTAAATTCAGGATTTTTCCTCTGCTCCTTTACCCTGACCTAACAGAAGAGACAGTCACTCTTAAAGCCATGTGAAATCAAAAGGGCAAGGAAGTTTAAGCAAATGTTTGAATACTTTTGTTTTTAGTAAAGAATATTACCACTCACTTCATGAAGATCATTTTTAGAAATTACAGAACGTTACACAAATACATCCACCTCATCTAAGGGAACCGAATGCACTGGGACATTTGACTTTGTACAAGACGGTAACTGATGGAGGCTTTGTTACGGGTGATGTGACAACACAAACCAAAAACAATCAATGCAACCAAAGGCAGTTGAATAACAATATATAAATTAGGAACAGGAATTAAAATTCGCCCAAATACATTTGGTGCTTGAAAATAGCATAATCTTTTCTAGACTGTTACTCTAAGAAGGGAGCAAATAATGTTACACTAAAATAGGACTCTACACTGTAATGTTCATAGTTATGTATACAAAACAATACAGTACGAAATTTCAATTAAAGCCATCTTCTATTCAAGTACATTTATTAAAAGGTGCCATTTTTACGTCATACAGGATTATGTTTTTGTTTATTTATTTTTTTTGCTTCACAGCTTTAAAACTTTTAAGCTTCTCAGAAACCCTTAATAACACTGACGTACAGCCTGCAGGCCAAATAGGTCAAATGTAGACAAACACATCTAGTGTTTAAAATTAGACAGGACATGTACACAGGCTCAGTTTGGAACATCTCATTCACTGTTCATTCAGCCAGAGAGTCATGCTCACATCAATATCCCAGGGATTCACAGGCTAAGATAAAAACAATGTACAGTGAGCCTATACTGTCAGCCTGCACTGCCACGGTGATGCTTAAAATAAAAGAAGACAATCATACGTAAATGTTTTCTTTTATGGAAAATCCTCTACAGCCAGCCTCTATTAAATAGCAATGTGTCTCTAAGCTCTGAACAAATTGTTCTCAAACATTTTCAGAACAAGGTCATCAAAACTGTAGACCACGCTCTTTCATTCACACCACTACAAAAGTAAGTTTCCTTCAGAAAGACGCTGTAAAATAAAATTCATACCGAAAAGATACAATGCTGTGCGTTCCATCACATGCAGTGAGTTATACTGTGAATCTATAGAGTGACTCATCATTTGAGGTAAGGAGCGAGTGGGTTGTTTTCATTGCTTTGCCTGAAGGACTTATTTAAGTAGGTGCATGTAAACCTACTGAGCTTTACCTTTGAAAGCAGGCAGTTTTTGGAGCTCCCTGTTATTGCTGAGGCTAAAGCGAGAGGAGCTTTGCCTCTTTTCCTTTTTGACAGGGGCTTGGGATCCAGACTGCTTCCCCTTCAGCAGCTGTGTGGTGGGTGGCACGCTATTGCTGCCTTTCCTGTTTGATCCCTGAAGGGAGGAGAGGAAGAGCAGAAGAGAGACACATCAAGTCGTTGTTTTATTTTTTCATATTTAGCCTTTCACCTTTCAGTATCAAGTAGAAAGGGATATCTCAGGAGATCATCCCACACTCTCATGCAGTTAAAGTTTAAGTCTCACAGACTACACAGGCAGACACCCAAGGGTTCAGTGTTGCATACTTCAGCCGCTTGTCTGAACAGCACAAAATCTCTGTGCAGCCATGGCTACTTGTTAAAAATTACCTGCAAATGAGTCATCAGTTTCACAAAAATGTCCTTCAATATTTCCTTTTGTAAAAGTCTGATTGCAAAGATTCTTTGCACTAAAAACATTATTACAGTGATAAGCAGCATCTGATTTTTCAAGAACCAAGCATCCACATCATTAGCCAGCCTGGCAATCCTGGTTTTTTTTGTGTTTTTTTTAACTGAATGATACGCGCTGAGGCGCAAGATTGGATTTCACAGGCCAACAGTCAAGTCTCTTTGACTTAAACCAAGCCACAAAAGTCTAATGCTATTAGGCAATGTATCATATTTCATGTAAATAAAGCCTCATAGCAACAGCTTGTGTGGATTCGAACAGGATGAAGTAATATTAATAGTTCAGCAGAGTGTCTGCACACACTGGCGAGATAACTGTGGATGACTGCAGAAAGGGAAGGCTGTTTTCAAACGTCTAGTTAGTGGGCTGTACCTATACAGTCGGGGCTTTTCAAGCATCTTTTCTTGCCTCTAATAGCATGAGGTGTGTAGCTTAAGTGCTTACTTTGGGGTTCCTCTGGCTGTTATTAATGTAGACCTACCTATAATTCTACCTTGTCAGCAAACTTCATAATTCCCTAACTACATAAGCATCACTCCAGAGTCATTTGAAGAGATGGAGGCTTTTTCTAAGATGTTGTCAGAATTTGTACGTGTCCAGTCTGTGAAAATAAACTCATTCATAGGAATCTGAATTTTCGCTCAAATTCAAGGGAGCATAAAGTAGAGTCGCATCAACCAGCAGAACATGGTAGTTAGCGTTATTTAGTCAGCTAGCAAGGTTAGCTATGTGCACGGCTAGCTCGCTATGTGAGTTTGCTAGCCTTAGCTATCCACCGTTAGGTTATATATTAAGTTAACGTTAACGTTACCTCATGATCCGAGTTTTCTTGTCCTGCAGATTTACCGACTTTTCCAGACTTCGGCGTATCCTAACAGAGAACAGAAATCAGAAATGGAGTATAGTTGACAATGTTCTCAAGCAAAATAAATAAGCCACTAATCTAATTAAGCTTACTTGAAGGTAAATGTAGAAATAAATATGACCAGAATATAAAGGGAGCAGCTAACTTAGCGTTAGTGGTTGCAAACCAGCTAACCGTTAACTTGGCTGACAATTTAGTTGCAGCTATGCTGGCTACTCAGCTGATGCAGCTATACAGCTAATAGCACGTCCGAGAGTATTTTAAGTGAAGAAGCTAAACTAAGGCTTCAACCCTATACATGACAAACACTGCAGAAAATGTACAACTTTCTAACGTTAGCAATAGCTCAACAGCTCCAAGCTAACTGTCAGGCTAAGCTGTTCAATATAAGGTAACTGAAGCGTTAACGTCAGCTAAGCTAGCTAACTGGCTAAGCAGGATACTCCCATGAATATCATGCACTATTATTTTACTTTGTGTCTCTTCTGTAATTTGGTACAATGTGTGGAACGAACTCCAAACAAATTTCCCTCTGCCTTGGTACAAATATGTTAGCTAACCAGGTAAACGGCAGACAAACTCTCTAGCGTTAGTCAGTGATACAACACTAGCTTCAGCTAGCTATATTAGCTCTACGCCCCACCGACCTGGGCAGAGGAAGAAGACTACGAGTGAACTAATGTTAGTGTTTGAGGCTGCTTTTGTCTGCTCGCATGCCAAGTAGTCTATGTTACGTTAATTATGAATCGTTAACTAGCGTTCAAACCTAAAGGAAAATCTCAAAAGCGAACTTACCTTGTCTTTTTTCGTTTTGTTCGGCATCGCATTCATGTGTCCGACCGACCCTACCCTACAGACTCAGACTCGCTCCGCTCCGCGACAGCAGTTAGTTAGCGACTCGTCTTTCCCCTCATATCTGATAGGCTGCTGATAGCCAGCTAGCACAAACTGTCAGTGTCACGCCGAAATTCCCCTCTCCTGGTTGGTAGGAGGACATGCCTAGATTTTCTCGCTAAAAGAAAAAATGTGCAGGTAGTCGTGCTTAAAACCGTTTCTTGTTTCTTTAGGCTGGCGGCGTTGATCAGGTCCGCGTGACGTGAAATATATATAAAAAATTGTCTGGCAGCGTATTTACGTGATTCAAGTACTAACTACAAGTGTTGTGTAAATGCTATACTTTCTGTTTATTCTCCAACGACATCAGAGCAGGCAAACGCACAGGTATAACTGATGTTAGATTTGTCGGACTGTCTCGACAAATTGAATTTTACAAGGTTTCAATGGCAGTAATAACTCCTTGTTTGTGTCAGCACAAGCTGTCGCTAAGTAATTTCACTGAAACATAGGACAGAGAGGCGATCCCAAAAAGAGTCGACCCACTGATTCTACGCATTTGGGATTCGAGAGTCGACTCCACAGCTTGGGACTCGAGTCAACACAGTGACGTTCAAGCTTGCCCACGCCCACGCGCACACGTTAGGAGTGTGGGATATTCTGCCGCCACCAGTGACTGTATGTGTATGACTCACATATATTCAACGCTCTAGACAGCCTGTCTGAAAAATGCATCCTTCCATAACTCACGCACGTCAGTAGATTTGCTGTGTTATGCTTTGGTCAAAGTTTCCCGCTGTAACAAAAAGTGGCTTAAATGAATTTCTCCAGTTCTGAAACATCTAACCACCAGTTTTCACCTAGCCCCTGACAAACACCTAAGTTAGCTCTACAAACTACCTTGCTAAGGTCAAATATGCCATATAAATGGACATCTTATTCCATGAGATTAACATAGCAAGATCCACTGTCAATCATATCATCAATAATGTTTTATGTCCTTATTATGGTACTTTGTGTTACCATATTTCCTTCTGTATGTTTTGAATTTTATAATTAAGGGCCCCCCTGCAATCTCCCACTGCCTGTACGGCACTGCACCACTCCCCCATGCTGGACCTTGCGAGTGGTGGGCCCACATGGTCCCCCCACGTTGCCTCTTCGGGCTGAGCCCGGCCGGGTTACGTGGGCTGCCCGGCCACCAGGCGCTCGCCAAGGGACGCTACCCCCAGGCCTGGCTCCAGGGGTAGGTCCCGGTGACCCTCTCCCGGGCAGGGTACACGATGTTCTGTGTCCGTTTATCATGGAGGTTTTTGTGTGAATTGTTGTGTGGAATCAACTCCATCAATTCCTGTTATTCGGAATGGAAATCAAGAGTTGCCTCTAAAATTGGACACCCTGATACAGAATGATGCAGGGTACTAAATACACTTATCATTAACACAATTCCTTCAGCCTTGCAGCAAAAGGAGGAATATAGAATTACCACAAAGAAATAACCTTAATTGGGGAGAAGGTTCTGGTGCCACCTGCTGCTCAAAATAGAAGCTTTCATAGGTTTCTTTGATTGAAATGGCTGGTCCAGCTTCAGTTAGGTGTGGTGAGGTATGTGTGGTCCAAATTATTTTATCTGAGGCAGTCAAATAAATGTTTTAACTGATGCCATAGTAACATTGCAACACTGTACAATTATACATGATTTTATCTTTATTGGTTTTGAGAATTTGTTAAACTTGAACACGTCACTATATTTGGGAAACAAATGAAATGATTGTGGAGAAACACTAAGAGATTCAAGCGTAATTGATTCAATATGGCAAATTTTATTTGAGGGTCCCACCATTTCAAGTTACAGTATCAGATTCAATATACATAACTGAGTAGTATCACACTTTAAAAAAACAAAAAAGGGAAACAAATCTGTGGAATGTGAGTAAATAAAAAAATGCATACACATCTCTATACAAAAACAAAAATTAGGGAAAAAAGCAATGGAAACTGGTGCTCTGAAACCAGCACTGTTTCTCTGGGAATGGATTTTAACAGCCACATAAGAAAGCAGGAACATCAACAATTAAGATCATTAACACTGAGTGGGCTTAATTTGCACCCAGGCACCTAGACAGGTACGGCTTCACAGTGCAAGGTTGACTAAAAAGAACTGTGGTTTCTCCCTCATGTCCTTTTTACAAGAATGAATATTGGGGATAACCGTTACTAGCCCATTCTTTACACTCTGCACTGAGTTTACACACACAAGGACTGTCTAATCCTAGATTAAAGGTTTTTAAAAGGAGCATCCATATCGACATTGCCTTTTAATCCAAAACTAGACCTAATCAGTGTCTGGAAACCTCTTACTTACAAGTTTAACTTTTGAATACGTACAACTTTGCCGTTACATACATGCGTCTTTCCACACATGGAAAAGTCATGCAACTGTTTTCCTGATGCCCTCACCGTTTACCCTAACTGCAGCCACCCAGGTACAAGTCAAGCCCAACCATTAAATAAACGCTGTACATTTTTATAGAACTATGAACTGACAAACTAGCAAACTTGATGCTTTAGTCCACCTCCTCCATGCGAGATGTGTCATCATCCCCTTCCAATGGGGGCATGTCCTCAATGGGTGCAGAGGACGGCTCTTCAGCGGACAGGTCATCTTCATCAATGCCTGAAAGGGAAAAGAAACACAAGTTAAGAATGCAATGCTGATATGGTCTTTCAGGGTCTGATATGGGCTTACTGAAGTCTCAATGCCTGTACTGGTGGTTAAAACTGAACTAACAAATGTAATCTGACAGCATTAACTGTACTCTTACCCAAGCCCAGCTTGATCATCCTGTAGATGCGGTTAGAATGCGTCTGAGGATCGTCAAGCGTGAACCCAGAGGAAAGCAGTGCAGTCTCAAACAGCAAGATGACCAGATCCTTTACAGATTTGTCGTTCTTGTCAGCCTCTGCTTTCTGCCTGAGTGTTTCAACAATAGGGTGATCAGGGTTAATCTCTAGGTGCTTCTTGGCAGCCATGTAACCCATGGTGGAGTTGTCCCTCAGAGCCTGGGCCTTCATAATCCTCTCCATGTTGGCTGTCCAGCCATACGTGCTGGTGACAATACAGCATGGGGAAGACACCAGACGGTTTGAGACGGTAACCTAAAAGAGCGATAAGAAAAAATGGGTTATAAGCCAAATATCTCAAGATCAAGCCACTCAGGTTACTTCTGATATTGACAGCATTTAACATTTCAGCAAGTCCTCTCACCTTTTCAACCTTCTTCTCAAGGATGTCCTTCATGATTTTGCACAAGTTCTCAAACTGTGCCTTTTTCTCCTCCTGCTTCTTTTTTTCTTCCTCATCCTCAGGGAGCTCCAGACCCTCCTTGGTTACAGACACTAAGTTCTTGCCCTCAAACTCCTTCAACTGCTGAACACAGTATTCATCAATGGGCTCGATCATGTAGATAACCTCCAGACCAGCTTTGCGTAGGCGTTCCACGAAGGCTGAGTTGGCCACCTGATCTTTGGTCTCACCTGCAGCAAATTTGTATCAATGTTTTAACAAAGATATTCATTGATGCCTATAAAAGGTTTACAACAAAACCCCTCAAAGCTTTATTTACAGCTTAGTATCTTTGCTATTCAGCTTAGTATTCACCTGTAATGTAGTAGATGTGCTTCTGAGTGTCCTTCATGCGAGTGACATAATCTTTAAGGGACACCATCTCATCTCCGGAGGCAGACGTGTAGTACCGCAGCAGCTCTGACAGTTTTTTCCTGTTTTGAGAGTCTTCATGGATACCAAGCTATAAAAGAAGCAAAATAAAGGATTTTAGAAGAAACTTATTAAAATTTTACACTAAGCTACAATTTCCTCTCTTTCTAAACATTCACAGTGTATTATGAGGATAAACTGATTAGACAGGTTTACAGGATCAAAATGGAGGACGAACAGGTGGCAGGCAGGTGACATGTAGTTAGCAGGGCATATGGTAGGGTTCTCTAATTCCAGTCCCGAAGGATCACCGCACTGCTTAGTGTAGAGTTTCACCCTTTCTACCACATCTAATACAGGCCTTTAGAACGAAGGACACACCTAGTGAAAGGCTTACATTTGCTGACACTTTGAAACAGGAGTGTTGTAACAATACTAGTGTAATGCTGTAGCTCTTTAGAACAACCGACAGATTTTCAAGTTTTATAATACATTTTAAATGCAAAGTCCACCTGCCAATAATTTTAAAAAACACTCACATGAACATAACCTACCTTGATATTCTTGGAGAACTGTTCATAGAATTTCTTGTAGTTGTCCTTGTCTTCAGCAAGTTCAGTGAAGAGCTCAAGGCACTTCTTGACCAGGTTCTTTCGGATGACTTTAAGGATCTTGCTCTGTTGCAGCATCTCTCTGGAGATGTTAAGGGGCAGATCCTCAGAGTCTACCACACCCCTGATGAAGTCTAAAAGAAAAAGGGTAAGAGTTGTAACAGGTGCGCTCAGTACTGTATGTGTGCTCATTCCGTTGTACTATAAATGAAATGTTACTTACTGAGATATTCTGGAATGAGTTCATCACAGTTGTCCATGATGAAGACCCTGCGCACGTAAAGCTTAATGTTGTTCTTCTTTTTCTTGTTCTCAAAGAGGTCAAAAGGAGCTCTGCGGGGTACAAACAGTAGTGCCCGGAACTCCAGCTGGCCTTCCACTGAGAAGTGCTGTAAAAAGAGTAAATACAACCAGTGTTGTTTGTATGTAATTAACACTGTGATACTAATTTTCATAGAGCGCACTTATCAGGTGCTTACTGAACTCCTCTTCAAAATAATTGTTTACTCACCTTGACTGCAAGGTGGTCCTCCCAATCATTTGTTAGACTCTTGTAGAACTCGCCATACTCCTCATTAGTGATGTCATCAGGATTGCGGGTCCACAGAGGCTTGGTCTTATTGAGCTCTTCCTGGTCAATGTACTTCTCCTTGATTTTCTTCTTCTTCTTCTTTTTCTTGTCTGAGTCCTTGTCATGGTCTTCCTCATCATCTGAGCCAACATCCTCAATCTCTGGCTTATCTTCATCTTTCTCTCCTTCTTCATCCTTTTCCTTCTCCTTTTCTTCTTCAGCCTCATCATCACTCACCTCCTTGTCACGTTCTTTCTCCACCTTTACAGTCAGAAAATTGCTAAGGGTCACTTATTTGTAAAAGCACTGAACTATTCAGACATCAAAAAGTACACCTGCGAAATATATTAACAATGGGCCTTATTCGCTAATCATTCTTAGGAAGAATTTTTCTTCCTTGGAACCCACTTTTTACAAAGATTCTGACATGCAATGTCTTCTTACTTGAAATTTGTTCTTAGGTAAGAGTAGAATCTATGTGCACTTAAAAGCACAAAGGTGCGAACAATTCTGTGGTTTCAGAATATCATGAATCTAATGTACCCATTTTCTTAGGACCTTTCACAAAAACGTTTTTTTTAGAAACAACTTAGGAAGATATTGGTGAATTAGGCCCAATGTATACACAATCACAACTGAGTGATTAAAGCTCATTCAGGCTAAAACAATATCCTTTGGAAATTTGCTGTGAAATGAAATTTATGGTTAAGGCTACTCACATAAAGAGTGATGGGGTAGCCAATGAACTGAGAGTGCTTCTTCACAATCTCCTTAATTCGCCGCTCTTCAATGTATTCTGTCTGATCCTCCTTCAGATGCAAAACCACTTTTGTGCCACGCTTAATTGGCTCAGCTAAAAAAAAAATTACAAATATTTAATAGGGTGACAATGCAAACTAAAATTATCGTTATAAGTCCTGCAAATACATAAGTACTCCCAGACAGAGCAAACAATTTAGAAAATCCTATCTTGAAAAAAAAAGAGATTTCCCCGTTGTAAGTTGTAAAATCTTTATAATCAGTGATAACTTCATTATAGTTAAGGCGTTTTCTGCCTCATGCAAATCTGATAGCATCTATCATCATCTTGGTTCACACTAAAAATAAAATGGAAAAATTCCTCATATAAAATGACTAAAACTGAAGTATTTAATACTTACAGTTATCCACCTTTACGGTAAAAGAGCCTCCAGCAGATGACTCCCAGGCATACTGTTCATCATCATTGTGTTTAGTGATGACTGTGACCTTCTCTGCTACCAGGTAGGCCGAGTAGAAACCCACACCAAACTGGCCGATCATGGAGATGTCAGCTCCAGCCTGCAGAGCCTCCATGAATGCCTTGGTTCCAGACTTGGCGATGGTGCCCAAGTTGTTGATGAGATCGGCTTTGGTCATGCCAATGCCGGTGTCAATGATGGTCAGTGTGCGCTCTGCTTTGTTGGGAATTATTTCAATTTTTAAGTCTTTTCCAGAATCCAGCTTGCTTGGGTCAGTGAGACTTTCATATCGGATTTTGTCCAAAGCCTAAATAAAGGAAAAACATTGCTTTATGTATATGTATATTCTATAAAACATATACAGTTAATTCTGTAGTAGACTTGTGCAGTATTTTAATAACTTGAACATAACTACCATTCCTACTGTGTTTGCATGCGGGCTACATCACAGAGACCTTGTGTGTAACTTTATCACACTTTACATGGCTGCTTATAAATTATTACTTACATCTGAGGAGTTTGAAATGAGCTCCCTGAGGAAGATCTCTTTATTTGAGTAGAATGTGTTGATGATGAGAGACATCAGTTGGGCAATTTCTGCCTGGAAGGCAAAGGTCTCTGCCTCCTCCTCCATTGGTTGGTCATGTGCTTCAGGCATCTGCATGAGACACATAAGGCCAGAGTGAGGACTAATGCTGAAGTTGAACTGTCATTTTTAACTATAAAATTATAGAACTGTTTCAACATGTAGTATTTCCCAGATGTGTAGAATAAATGACAATAGTAGCACAAGAACCAATGCACTAAAATTCAATTTGACTCAAAATATCCTAATAATTAATCTATAATAAGGCACGTTCTACACTGATTATTTAAAAATTCTGGTATTTTAGCTGCTACTTTCATCAGGAGGCAAAAGCCTTTCCACTTGTATGTTCTGAATTAATATGACTCACGCTCAATTTAGTACAGGCTATGAGCAAGTGTTATTACATAGTAATAACGTAATCCTCACATTATCTAATGTTTTCCTGTTGTAACATATTCTTATTTGTTCATTCAAGGGAAGGACGTTATTAATCTCTATTAAACGTTAATAGGTAAGACCGCTCGTCGATCATTTTTCCGGAAAAGTCTATGACCACATGGCTCGGCGCACCATTGCCAGTAAAACGGCGCCATCTGCTGGTCGGATCGATTAACAACAACCTTCTAGAACATACCGACCTCGCAGCGCAGCACATGGATACCAGTTCTGAGCTACAAACTAATTTCACCCACAGGTAAAGGAAGCCACTATCTGGCATGCAGAATTACAACAGAACTGGTTAGACAGCTATATAACTTTGCAGTAAAACGCATGATAAATAATTCTCGACGAAAACCCTGTGTTGTCTGCAAACGCGATATTTCAGAAAAGCAGCTGTCAGAGTTCTTCTTCGCGATCTTCCAAAAACATTTATGCTCTTCGGGAACATTAATTTACTAATTAAATGATTGTCAACGTTACCCATAAGCAAAGACTTAAAGCAACATAGCAAACGTTATCTGATGGTCATACTCCACTTTTTCCTATTCTTAAAAAGTTGACTTAATTAACAGTAACCATAAAACAAAGCCAGTTTGTACGTTGTGCAAATCAACATAAGCCAGTTTTGTGATGACCACGTTCATTCAGTATGTGCTGCTGGTCTGCTTACAGTGATGCGAAATTCATTGAGGCCAGTCAGCCATCTGTCAGGCCGGCTAGATAATGCTAATGCTAACTAGCGGGTTATTCCAGACAAACCACCTCAGCTTAACGGACAGCTAACGTCCAAAGTTAGCGTTGCGGTTCTACAGGACTAATACCTGCCGCAAGAACTCTTGAGAACAATTAGGCTCTTGATGGAAGGACAGTTTGGACGGTTTTATCGAAAACAGCCATCAGCACCGGCCGTTCAAAACGTTAGCTCTGTCAAGTTGGCTGGAATGATATAGTTATGTGGTCAAAATTAAAATCGATGTGATCATTCGGCTCATTAACTGACAACCCAAGCTTCATCACTTACCTTGACCGATACTGTCAAGTCACTTAGACTGGAATGCTCTGTTGTAGGTTTGAGTCCAAAGTATGTGTCTCGCTCTAATACGCGGTCGAGCTGCGCGAATCTGTGCGCACCGCTTATATAGCGTTTACCTCAGAGTGTTCGAGAACCCTGGTGTTCCCGAACACTCTCGAATCTTCCCTACGCGCTTTGTTGCGGGAGCGGGGCGGGACTTCATGTGTCAGTCAGAGGGGATGAGGAAGGCGGGACCTCTTCATAGGATGTCATTAAAGTGTTATGAAGAACATTTTAGACAATTATTAAATGAATAAATTTGCTTAAAACTCAAAATGTTTTCTGGAGAATATTTTATTAGAAATATTATAAGTTCCCTTCTTTTCTTAAAAAAAGGTTACAATTAAAAAACACCAGAAAATTCAATTTTCCGATGACTAATTCCAACAAGCACAAAACGTATTCAAATAAAACAATTAAAATGAAAAAGTAGAGAATAAATATGCTATCAATAACATTACTAGCCCTTAAGCTCTATAGCTGTTACCAACCACAATGTGTGTTCAAAACAAGCAATGTTCAAGTTAAATACATTTACATTTTTTTTGTGCTATTTGTATTAAAAATCTTAGTCGACTTCTTCCATTCTAGAAGTGTCGTCATCTCCCTCTAGAACAGGCATGTCCTCCTCACTGGGCTGAAGAACATCCTCGACGGCTGAATCATCGTCATCAATGCCTGCATAAGTAGAGGATGGAGGGTTTAGAAAATGTGCATTTACAGTTTGTAATTGATTTTGCTTTTAGTACATTCTAGAGCAGCATGTTATTAAATGGACTGCAACTCACCAAGACCAAGTTTGATCATTCTGTAGATGCGGTTAGCATGTGTCTGTGGGTCCTCCAGGGTGAATCCAGAAGACAACAAGGAGGTCTCGAAGAGCAAGATCACAAGGTCTTTCACAGCTTTGTCGTTCTTGTCAGCCTCTGCCTTCTCTCTAAGAGTCTCAATAATGGGGTGCAGGGGGTTGATCTCCAAGTGCTTCTTGGCAGTCATGTATCCCATGGTGGAGTTGTCCCTCAGAGCCTGAGACTTCATGATCCTCTCCATGTTGGCTGTCCAGCCGTATGTACTGGTGACTATGCAGCAAGGGGAGGCAACCAGGCGGTTGGACACAGTAACCTTGATGGAGAAAAGGAGATCGGTCATTGAAATAGTTTTAATCTTAAGCTGTATGATGTTTTTATTTAATAAGTTGCTTAATCATGATACAGGCCTGTGCTTTTACCTTTTCAATCTTTTTGTCCAGGATGTCCTTCATGATCTTGCAAAGGTTTTCATACTTGGCTTTAAGTTCCTCCTGCTTTTTCTTTTCCTCTTCATCCTCAGGGAGCTCCAGACCCTCCTTGGTGACTGACACCAGGTTTTTGCCATCATATTCTTTCAGCTGCTGAACACAGTACTCATCAATGGGCTCGATCATGTAGATCACCTCTAGACCAGCTTTGCGAAGGCGTTCCACAAAGGCGGAGTTGGCCACCTGTTCCTTTGTCTCACCTTGGGGAGAAGGAGTAACAAATATTTTAATTGACTGATATTTAAGAATAAAATTGTTTTTTTGTGGTATTGCATGAAGAAAAATGCATCCAAGATTTAATCTCAAGATATTAACCAGTAATGTAGTAGATGTGCTTCTGGTTTTCCTTCATGCGGGACACGTAGTCCTTCAGAGACACCATCTCATCTGCGGAGTTGGAGGTGTAGTAGCGCAGAAGTTCAGAGAGCTTCTTACGGTTCTGAGAATCTTCATGGATACCAAGCTGGAACAGAACAGCAAGTGTGAGATAGTGCTGTTTCCATTTTAAGTTATTTTGTGCATGAATTTGAATATGAGTAATGTAAATGTACCTTAATGTTTTTGGAGAACTGCTCATAGTACTTCTTGTAGTTGTCTTTGTCCTCAGAGATTTCAGTGAACAGCTCAAGGCACTTCTTAACCAGGTTCTTTCGAATAACTTTGAGGATCTTGCTCTGTTGCAGCATCTCTCTGGAGATGTTCAGCGGTAGATCCTCAGAGTCCACCACACCCTTCATGAAATCTAATATGATAAGAGAAGGAAAAGTCAGGTCATGTCACCATTATAATGGATTTTGCTGCATAAATCTGAATACATTTTTTTTTCTTTTGTTTTTGGATGTTTATGTCTAAATAACTGTCACAGATTAGCAGCTGATTTAGTGGAACACTTACTAAGATATTCAGGCATAAGCTCTTCACAGTTGTCCATGATGAAGACCCTGCGCACATACAGTTTAATGTTGTTTCTTTTCTTCCTGTTCTCAAAAAGGTCAAAAGCTGCCCTTCTTGGGACAAACAGCAAAGCACGGAACTCCAGCTGGCCCTCTACTGAGAAGTGCTGTAAGAGTAAAAATTCATGAGTAATCATTGAAAATGGATGCAAATATAACACATTTAAATATTCTTTTTATTAGTTATTCTACCTCACCTTAACTGCAAGGTGGTCCTCCCAGTCATTAGTAAGGCTTTTGTAGAACTCGCCATATTCCTCATTAGTGATGTCATCAGGGTTACGGGTCCAGATAGGCTTGGTCTTGTTCAACTCTTGGGCATCAATGTACTTTTCCTTGACCTTCTTCTTCCTCTTGTTTTTTCCATCTTTGCTGTCCTCATCCTCGTCAGATCCCACATCCTCAATCTTGGGCTTGTCTTTGTCATCACCAGCTGCTGCCTCCTCCTCCTTCTCTCCCTCGTCAAGATCGACCTCCTTTTCTCTCTGTTTCTCAACCTATAAAGTGATGGTAGAAAAGCATTAAACCATTTACATTAAAGCTACAAAGGTAGGAATATGTGAATGTCTAAACATATCATGGCACTTACAAAGAGAGTGATGGGATATCCGATAAACTGAGAGTGTTTCTTAACAACGTCCTTGATACGCTTCTCCTCAGTATATTCAGACTGGTCTTCCTTCAGGTGAAGAATCACCTTTGTGCCACGACCAAGAGGCTCACCTGCAAATCCAAATGCCAAAGAAAGTTTAATCCAATGATTTACCACTGTAGAGCTCTTTAGTGCAATTGTGTTATTCGCTTATAATTGCTATATTCGTTTTGAAATCCTACCATTATCAGGCCGCACTGTGAAGGATCCACCAGCCGCAGACTCCCAGACATACTGTTCATCATCATTGTGTTTAGTGATGACTGTGACCTTCTCTGCTACCAGGTAGGCTGAGTAGAAACCCACACCAAACTGGCCAATCATGGAGATGTCAGCTCCAGCCTGCAGAGCCTCCATGAATGCCTTGGTTCCAGACTTGGCGATGGTGCCCAGGTTGTTGATGAGATCGGCCTTAGTCATGCCAATGCCAGTGTCGACAATGGTCAGGGTACGAGTCTTCTGGTCAGGAATGATATCAATCTTCAGGTCTTTGCAGGACTCAAGTTTGCTTGGATCTGTCAAGCTCTCATATCTGATCTTGTCCAAAGCCTGTGTATGAAGGGTAAAGCACAGTAAAGTATTAATTCAAATAACCAAAGGCCAGAACAATGGCTTTAAACCTTAGAACTGTTGCTGTTGTCGAACTTAGAATGATGAACTTACATCTGAGGAGTTTGAGATTAACTCTCTGAGGAAGATTTCTTTGTTGGAATAGAAAGTGTTGATGATCAGAGACATCAGCTGAGCAATTTCAGCCTGAAAGGCGAAAGTCTCCACCTCCTCCTCCATCATGGGCTGGGCAGCTTTCTCTGGCATCTGTAAGAAATTTTAAAATATATGTAAATAAATGAAGTTTATTCATAAGTCTTAAGTCTACTAATTCTTAATGAGTAGCAGACATTTATTAGTTGTATTATTTGTCACTTATTGGAATTCAGTATGTCTGTCTTTACAAAGTAGCTTTTGTTTTGTGAAGATGTTACAATTAATACAAAATTCAGTTACTTTTTATAGAACTGCAATTGCATTGTGATTAACAGGTGTATTTTTTGCACAATGTCATTACTACTCGAAAAACTACTTATTAAGTGTAAAAGCTTTTTAATAATTTATTTTGAGATCAAAAATGTGCTAGAATAAAAAAAACAATAATATACAAATTCTTATAACTTGCCAAATAATTGCTGTTCTCTTATATAATTCCCTTATAGGACATCATGGGTTTGAAAGAGCAGGCTAGTGAGACTTGCAAAATGCAGCTGCCATCATTCCTCTACAAATTTGGCACCAGCTGCACTTTTTGCACCTGTCAGTCTTTGAATAGGATGTCACAGGTTCCTCATAAGATGATCATAAAGTGGTACATTATGGGTTAAATTTGAATAATTTTCAGTAGATGTTCCAGCTCAATCAATCTAATCCAGCCTGCTCATGTTTCACAGGACAGCCTGCAGCTGCCATGCCTGCATGATCGTTACCATGCTGTTCACCACATGCTTTCTGACCTTTTGTCACGAAACTGTTCAAGATTATTGCAAACATGGTCAATCTCCCTTGAGTCTATTGCCTGTATGTTGCTCAATTTGAAAGGTTTTAAAGTTTAATTTCTTTAAAATGTATGTTCAAAAGAACTATTTATCATTGTTTTTCATCATGCAATGCATTATGAATTTAGAATTTGATTAACAGGAAGACAAATAATGCCCACATATTAATCACATATTTCATTTTCAAAAAGAATTAGATGCATATCTAATGAGGCCTCTTTGAAACCTCAGACAACAGCAGCCAGGTATGTGGTTAGTTAGTGATCTCTTACCTTGTCTTCTTCAAAAGCTTCTATGTGAAATTATATATAAAAGAGTCTTCAGGTTTATGGAGGGTCCCTCCACTTGGTGTGAGTCTTCTCGTGTCTTGTGCGTTGAGCTGTGCTCTCTGCAGTTCTTCTGAATGCTATCTGGCAAGCAGTGGGCCCGCTTCAGTCTTTTTATACATGGAGGACGTGTTTCTCGAAGCTCCCATTCAGAAAGTTCCAGAAGGAATACCCACTGGAGTAGACAGGAGAGACAGGCTGGGGTGTGCATTTGGGGTGGAGGTATGGGAGGTGGTCTACGTACCCACACTATGTGTCCTTTTAGGGCTAAAGGAGTCACAAGAGGTGTCTGTCAATCAAAGCAAGAACCTTCCGGATGGTCAGTGGCACATGGGCCTGTGAGCGTCACAGCTGGGGGCAGTGATTTCCTCCACAGCAGCAGCACCTTATTGGCCACAGGAGTGTTATCTTCAGCAGATTGTCACTGGAACCTAAATTCAAAGTGCCGGTATTCACAGTTAAGACAAATGCCAGGCACAGGCCTCAGGAAATAACAGGCCCTCCTGGAATGTCACAATTAAACAAAGAGGAACATTTGAGGAATTTCATTACAAAATGCTGTTTATCCATTTGTAATCATTTTGGATATAAGTTTGTGGAAAAACAAACAGCTGACGTATATGACATAAAATATACAAATTTTTTTCTCTAATAAAGGTGGTATTAATTATTATATGGCATTGATGTTTCTTGTATGTACAAAGCCCACACCCAACAATATATATCATGAAAAAAAAATTCTTGTGGTTTTGGAACAAAAACCTTCATTTGTATTATTTCTCTTTCATATCATTCATAGAATTTTATTTGAAAGTAAATCACATAGTAAAAATAACATTGGTTGAAATATTTTAATTCTGTCTGGGGATTTATGAACATTAATTTTCCCCCAAAAGTGTTATTTTACTTTGACAATAATTACCTAATTACTTAATCTAGCTTACTACAGGATGTTATAAAGTATCATAAATTATAACACAGTACTAATACTGACATTATACTTACTGACTCTTTATTTCTTTACAGTGGTGGTGATAAGAACCAGGGATTATGTTGTCTATAATGCAAATATATCCATTTTATTTACTATCTAAAATGACCACTGAATTTCCTGGGGAATGTATCTTTTGAATTGTATATGTAACAACAACAACAACAACAATAATAATCATCATCATCATCATCATCATCATATTAATAAATAATCATGGTGAGTCTGAAAAAATATGTTTTCTTTGGAGTCTTGTTTACTTTTACAATGCCCTGTACGTGTGTCTCCACAATGAATGAATAAATAAAACACACACAGACATATTTTAGGCCAAAATCTCAATCTCAGAACCATCGTAAATCAATGTCTCAAGCATTAGGCAGCTATTTGTAAGCATTTAGTGTAATAGCATTCTGTGAGGTAGATATTAGAGGCATTAACTGCTGCTGGTTCCTGTCACCCCAGCTATGAACAATTCTTACTCTGTAAGATAATTCCAGAAATTAGCATTATACGTCAAACCACTCTGACTGAGATTACATCTTAACAACTTCACTATGTGGACATTTTGAAACATTGGTGGAATTCTCTTTTATGAGTGGTGAGTCATCAAAAGTGATTAGAAAAAATGTAATAGAGAATAATCTTTAATCCTGGGCCTGCAAATCAAGAAGTACCAACATACACGCATTTCAACCCATTGCTGCCCTTAATTCACTCTGATATAGTTTAATTATTAGAGGATGCAGCAACAGACAAGCCAGATTCACTGTTTGAGTGGTTGAGCTGAGGCTTAAACACTTCTGCAGCCTAAATGAAATTAACTGGATTGATGCAAATAGTCAGGTGTTATATCTTTATTTTAAACGTACAAATGTGTTTCATTTATTATGGTGTGTATTCTGCTGCAGAGTGCCAGTGCTATCTAGAAACAAACAAGAATATCAGACTGGAACAATCGAGGGCTTTCCTGCGCTTCTTGCCCACCCTGGGTTGGCCCTCCTCCCTTTCCCAGCGTGCATTACGTAACAGCTCGTGTTTGCTGCTGGTTCCTGAATTACACAGCCCGTGTTCGAGAAGCTCCACGTGTTTCTAGACCTGCCGTGGAGAACTGAGTACCTTAAACATTTCTCCACTTCTTAACGGAACTGCACATGCACCGGCTCCCAGACCTCGATCACAAATGTAGTAGCACTCCTGCTCATTCCTTACAGGACTGGAAGGACCAGAAGTTTCCTCAAGTTTGCCATAATTATGCAGGCGCCTTGTGGATTCGTAATTAAGGGTTCCGTATTTTGTATTTTGCACCTGGATATTGTATTTTATTTTCACTTTCTGGGGTTACGTGAGCCATGTGTACAACCAGAAGATCTCCGAGGAGGAGGGTATATGGCTAAACATGCAGCATGTAGCTTTTTCTGTCAGAGGAGCAGATGTTCGCGACTGACACCACCGAGAAATAAAAGCCCACAGCTAAATGCGACAATGAGAAATATTTATTGTCATAGTGGTGCAGTGCTTGAAATGCAAGGTGCGCAAACGTACAGTATTTAGCATTTAAGGCAGCCAGTTGTAGAAAACTTGTCCGGTATGTAGCTCTCATTCTGTAGCGTTAGCGCTGTAGTAGGGCTGAGAATCGATCCCAAAAAACGATTCTCCGATTCCAGACATTTGAGAATCAAGAGTCGACCCCACAGCTTTGGATTCGATTCCACATTGTAACGTTGAAAATTGCCCGTGTGAATAAGACTAAGACCGTGAATTAAGATAATCATTTCTGTGTGAAATCAACTCCATCGACCGGAATCGCAGTGAGAGTCGACTCCAGAATCTCTGGAATCGAACAGCCCTACCCAGAAACCAGTTATTCCACCCGCCGCGCATGCGCAGATCCCGGCGCGGTGTGGCGCAGGGCAGGATGAATGGTGAACTCGAAGATGGCTACTGAGAGAATATTACAGGAAATGAACGAAATAAAAACTCAGTTCACTGCAGGGCATCTATTAACGCTTTCCCAACTCTGAATACAGTCATCCTAATCAGAGTGTCTTTGACTTCATGGGGTTTCCAGCCCAGTTAAAGTATCTTTTGTCAACATCAAGGATCAGTCTAGCAACAGCGTAGAAACATGCTTCAGTGTCCTGTGTAGGCCGAGAATCATAATTCTATAGGTACAAAGGGGTGGGAAAATTAATTGGGATTAACCCAGTTATGCCCGTGAGCCTCTGAAAAGGTTTCAAAGGTTAAAAGAGGTTTGATTTTGATGAAGCAGAAGTCTTCAAATTATAGGAATTTATGATTTCAATGACTGCTCCTGCAGCCTGGATCAGCAGAGTAACTCTCAGACCAGTTGAGTGCATGCGGGTTAACCTGTTCCATGAATTTACTTACGTTTTCTTTTTAGCAAAATTATTATTATTATTATTATTATTATTACTTCTTTATCTTTTGCTACATTTTACTTTTTTTTATATCTTACTCTTGCCAGTTCTTGGCATGTGATTTTGAATCATTTTCTCTGACTCCCAAAGTATGATATTATGCCAGTTGTCTTTTATTGCATGTAAATTCAATAAAAAGACTTTGGGGGGAAAGAAAAGTTAGGGATTGTTATGGCAAAGCAATAATTGGGTTGTTTACAAATGTTTAATCAGTCTGAACTCGCAGTTCACTCCGAGTGGAGTTCTTTAGCTGTTGGTATTGAGACACCAGCCGCGTCTGTGTTGTGTCTTAAAGGCACAGTAACAAATACAGCTTGTTTAAGTGTAAAGGATGACGAGAGGTTGAAAATGTTCATGTAAAAAGTAATTATGACGGTTTCTGGCACATAAAACCACACAAATGTCAGCAGGGGGAAAATGTAAAATATGAGTTCTTTAAGGATTTTGCTTTTTTGTTACAATAGTATGCTGTGCAAAGTGCTAGTTGTTTTATAAACAATAACTTTTAATTTAAAGATGTAATGAGTAACATTCTGCACATAAGCGATTACTGTAGCTGGACAGAAAACTCATTCTTTTTTGTTTCTGTAGTGAATTTCTTGTTTGATACATTTAACTCGTTCTTTGGCTAACATTATAATTCTGTGAGGCATCAATGAATATCAGTGTTTTCTGACAAATGGCACAAGGCTATAGGATACATTTTCATACTATATATATATATATATATATATATATATATATATATATATATATATATATATATATATATTCCACAGCCATTCATCTAACACTTGTAAATTGTAAATGCACAGTTTATGTCAGGATTCTTCGGTTCCAGTGCTGGGGACCTGGTTCTCCAGCACACTTTGGTGATTTCAAACTTTAGTATACAAAACATGAGTGCCTTAACGTAACAGCAATATCAGATCAGGATTATTACATATTCACCTGATTGCAATTATTTGAGCCAATTGCAGTTATTTAAGCTGATTGCAATTATATCCACAATCATTCTCCGTATTAAGCTAATCAGCCCATTCAGCTGCTTTAGGCTTATTCATTGATAGTTGCATTAATAGTTGGATTGATGCATCCCTCAAGGCTGATATGGGTTGTCCCGCCTGCATTGTGTTCCCCATGGTCTCTCTGAGTTTGAGTCAGAAAAGCTTACAGAGAGAAAGCTAACCTAACAAGCATAACTGAGCTATTCGTCCATTCATCTGTTTGTTCATTCAGCCGGCCAAATCTGCATTCCTGAGATGCACATCCAGAGATTAAGAGATTATGAATCTTACCTACTGTAAGATGTTGCCATATAAATGCCAAATAATATTTTTAGTAAGTCATGGACACAGCGGGGTCTGCAACACAACCTGCTTATGAAGAGTCAGTTTTGTTCTTTTCTCCCTGCTGTCATACTGGGCTGAGAGTGTTGGATTGAAGGCTGTCAATCACTGGTGCTCATCAGAATATATGCTCATAATCTGACAGCTCGGTGTTTATTTTGGTGTTTTTCTATTCAAACTTTGCTAAATGTTTAATATAATGCTCAATTATAGTATCATACAAACTTTTTAGACTAATTTCAAACCTTTCTTTTTAAAGTAAAGTCTTAGAAAAAGTTGTTTTCAAACAATTTAATGAGTAATATTAAACAAGTTATATAAAAAGTTTCAATCAGGTTTAAATATAGTACTGAGAAAGCACTGGTTCACGTGTGACCATCAGCTCAGCCCAACAGCAGGCCCAAAGCTTTACTATACACTTTTATAACCTAAGAACTCAACTAGTTTGCATTGTAGCCTGTATAATAAGCCTTGGTATGTCATATGTTTGTAAATCATAGGAAATCATTAGTTTGTGCCAAAATCTCCAAGCAAAAACACAAAAAAAGACTAGACTTTGCTGACATCATAAAGATCTGTCATTGGCCATACATATAAAAAACTTTGGTCACCTAAGAAACTGAATTTTCATATACCATGAGTTTCATATTGCATGTAGTACATTAACATTACTGATGTTATTTCAGTGTGGTGCATATTGAAGATACTACCTTTCCTCTTCACTACTACTGACTGTCCTGAGTTTTAGAAGACATTTCATTGGTGTAACCCTTAACCCACAGAGAAGAGTCTACCTTGCTACATTGCTATCCTCTTCCTCTTGGACAGTTATCTGACTTTTCAGGTTCTGAGATGCGGCTATTCCAAAATCAATACTATTAGTGTTAAAACCGCAGTGATGGACACAGAGCTCTGCTCAGCTTTTTACATGACTGATCAAATCATTATTACTATTTGAGTGGCTGACGAGCAGCATCCATAGGGTAATTATGCAGGCAGCTATTTGAACCATATCATTAATCTTTAGGAGATCTGGATCTTGGGTGATTTTTGTATCTGCTTATTATACAGTCCACTTAGAAGAAACAAATGGAAGTTCTAAACTGGGATAAATATAAATTTGTTAGCGTTTGGTCATATTTATTTTGTGAGGATGTAGCTGGCCACAAAGTAACTTTCCCCACTGATGTCATTTTCATTTTTTGAATATCCCTCCATATTGATCTGTCCTTCGTTTTTCCACAATTAATGATTAATAAGAAACATTTCAAACAATATGTTTTACTGAACCAATGAAAGTGGACTGTGTAGCTGTATGCATTTTCTTTAATGCCATGACACAGCTTGTATACGGCCTCTTACTTTAATAACTATGAGGATGTCAGAACTGACATTTTCTAAGCTATTTTTTGCCTTTCCTCCGTCTATATTTTTGGTCATTTTTATTTTTCTTCATCACCTGAACACAGTAGGTGTCCTTTACATAAAATGTGTGTAAATTTCATGATGAATGGAACTATATAAATGCTCCAAAACTGCTTAAAATAAAATCTCTTTACATTAGCTTATATTTAAATTTAAGAACGTTTTTGCCTTCTCATGTAAAGCTATTTTGAAGATTTCTCTTTGGACAGCAAGGATAGTTTTAATATTACACGATAAACCCATTTTTTTCCTATGTACAATGTCTAGCTTTCTGTATTTGTAGCCCTGTGCTTAAATGGACCTATCATCTAAGTGTCTACGGTGAATGAGTATATTCCATATACACATATGTAACTATGATACCACATATTGCATGATGTGACTGAAAGTCTTGTAAGATGCAACAGTGTTGAAAACATTGAATGCCCATCAAAGGGGCCATATTCTACATTTTTCTTGTTTTATTTTTCTCTCTGAGGTGTACCTACATTATTTGTATGGGTTCATGTACCAAATCGAACCCAGGCCCTTCTTGTTATAAAGCAACAGTGCTACCCACTGCAGCACCACACCATTGGCACCCATGTACCAAAAACAAACAGTCAAAAAATTCATTCTGACGTGACCATTTTCCAACCTTAATTCTCCAAATTAAACAGGCGGTTTTGGTACTGGGCCTATAAGACTGATACATGCAAATCATCTGGGCTCTAATTGGTTGCTCCGCATTGTGCCCTCATTCAGAAAGTAGTCTGAGCTGAAACAGTCCGTATAAGTCTACGAAGAATAAAATGTTTTGGATTTATGTGACATCACAAAAAGTCATTTCATAACAGCTGTTTCCATCAGTTTCCATATACAGCCGTATGCAAAAGTTTGGGCGTCCCTGGTCAAATTACATCCACTACAGAGAACACACTTCTCCACATTTTAATGCACAACTATTATTTATTTGCTGAATTTAACATATTGGGGAAAAATTGGGCCTGTGCAATGCTTATGGCACATTTTATGTTTTATTTCTTTTTCCAACATGTTAAACTCTAGAAATAAAGTGAAACTGTGCAACTGAAACATGAAACTGCCATATTTGTGTTATTTTAACTTCTTATCTCTTAAACTTCTGCATACAATTGTATGAACAGTACACTGGGGAGTGAATAGTACATTTATAGTATCTAGATACTAAATTAAGTTTTTTTTTTCATATTGTGATGAGTCCTTTAGATCTGCTACTCCATCTGTTTGATATCTCACATTGCATGTTCAGAATGATGTGCGTAAACATAATCACACAAATGTATATCATAAAAATCTTGTTCTGCAGATGTTTTACATTTCAAAGAAGTCTAAAAAAGCATGTAAATTAATTACAGTTAACTTGCTATGAGCTCTAATTGCTTTTTCACAGTTTGAAACCATTCATGCTGTATAATTAGCTTGAACTGAAGCCATTTGGAGCTTCTGAAACCTTGGAAGGCAAAAATAAATCAATACAACCTCTGCTACTTTGCTGAGGCTCAAGTATCCAAAAAGCACACATTTAAAACACTAATTCTCTCAATCGAGAGACAAAAATCAGCAGCATGACATAGCCCCTTGTAGCTTAGCACGATTAATCTATTAAATGGCATGCAATTGGCTGGGTTTTACTTTTTCACACTTGGCTAGAACTATGAGGCTGCAAGGAGCTCTGGCAAGGCTAAATGATAGCTCCTGAAACTGGGACAGGATGTCTCAGAAGACCTCATGTCTCATTTAATTGGCAAAAATATATCTATGGGATTTAAATACCCCATGGATTGCTGCGCACAAATATGTCCTATCACAGAGGAAATGAAATGGTGTGCGAGCTTTTATGCTATAATGCAGATAAACTGCAAATATACATCTAGAAGATTTTCCAAGTCAAAGTGGGGCAAAACACTTTGAGGTTGCTATTAATGGACAAACCAGACTTCATATGAATATAAGTTAAAAAACGTGTGCATGCATTTGTTCAGCAAACAGTACCATCACCCCGATTGTGCTTATTCTGCAACTACATTCAAATGAGCTACATTTTTGCAAAACAAGCCTAACACTAATTTTGTCCATTTTGTTCTCTTTCGTATTAAAGGACAATCACCAAACCCAAACCCCACATACTTTTTTATTTGGAATATTTCAACAAAACAGGCAATATAAAGATATAGTCCATTAAGAATTTGTAAAGGCTTTCATTAGAGGATGCAAAAAAAACAACCAAACAAACCAAACGAACAAACAAAAGAGAATAAGGTCACTGTAACCGAAGATAGCTCTTGCAGAGTTCATGGTCCCTGATATCCCCCCATCCTCCATTTTTAACATGAGGGGCCACTCCCCCAGCCCCTGACGCAGGCAGTCTCTTTGTGATGAGCAAAGTTTTTGGGAACAGCTGGTTGGTGCTGCTCTGAAGAATGTTTTCTATCTTTGTCTTCTGACTGTTGGGCATACAGGTTGACTTCTTATGGTGCATGCCGCAATCGCCAGCATGAAAGATGCGAGGTGCTTCACTCACCATGACCTTCCAAAAAGTGGGCAAACAAGCCACGGTGAGGTGCTGTAGGGACCAATCCCAGTTGTAATCGTCATAAGTGCAGAAGGCATCTGTGCATTGGAGGAGTTTCTCATACGTCTCTCTGTTCATGACCATGCCCATGTTGTGCTCTGTGGATTTCCAGGCCTTCACCTCCACTCTGTTGGCTTTGCTGGCATAGCCAATATGCCCATAGCTCCCCAGTGAAAGAATATCACAGTCAGCGCACTGCTCTCGCTTCAGAGATGTCATCAGCTTGATAAGATGGTAGAAGTCTGGTGCTAAATAGTGGTCTTCTTCAATAAGCATGACTAGTCCTTTGTGATCCTTCAACGCACGTACTCTGTCCCACACAAAATGCAACTTCCACCACCAGTGATGTTTGGTTTGAGAAAATTTGGCCTCACGGTAGTGGCCAAACGAGTCCGGGTACTCTGCATTTATGCAGCCGAGTTTTAAGGCGTCTTTCTTGGAAATGTCTCTGGGGCAGTCTCTGGGGTCATTTCCAGGGAACTCGTGAGGGTAGAGCTGGATGCTGAAAGGAAAAAATATTTGGAGTACAAGGCAGAAGTCGATGGATGATACTACTTGATTGATCTCTGGAGACCAGAAGTCATGGCTGAATATTAGCAGGACATTCTCTATGCCTTTTGCTTTTCTCAAGCTTTCTACAAGCAGCCTCAGGTACTCTGGCCGGTTGTGAACCTGAACCACTACCACCAGGTCATCCTTCTGCCGCACTGAGCCGAACTTCTCCTCATTTCTCAAAGTCTGGTCAAAGTTGAGTTGGAACACAATGCCCCGATACACCAGAGTGCTATTATCCACCTCAGGCTTGGGGGCCACTTGTTTTTCTGGAGGCGTTTCGTTGACTGGTTTCCGAGTTACAGGTACTGTGACCTGTGCCTGGCTGCTAATGCTACTCCTCTTAACAGTCTCTGCTTCCTTAGGAAATACAGCACTTCCTTTTTTCTGTTTCCCACTACTCCAAAAGGCAAATCCACAGATTACAACCACCAGAGTCAGTATTACAACTTTCCTCTTGTAGATTCGGAATCTCATGATAAGCCTTAACCCAGCGGGACAGTAAGAAAAATAGCAAAAACACAATAGTAGGTTTGTTATCAAAAGTGACCTGTGCTCCAGAATTGCTAAGAAATTTTATTGTAGAAAGCTGAGCTTTTTTCCCAGGTCTCTAATATTGGAATGTAAACTTTGATGGGATATCAGTGTTGCCAAGGAATAATCCCATAAGGCATGCTGCTTAGAGGCAGGAGGGTTGCATCTTAAAATCTGTGAAAGAGAACAGAAAGGCAGATTTAAATTCCCATATTTCAGATTTACTCTGCTAGTTTTACTAATGACAGGGTACTGCTTATTACATGATCACCAAATATACAACAGAACTGCATCACAGACATAATTTCACAAAATACTATATTATGTTCATACTGAAGTATGAAAGTATTATTAATACCACTGAACAAATTAAAAACTGTCATCTACATTATTTTTTACTTTTTGGCTGTACTCAGTAATAAACAGAATATTAAAACAAAAAATACATGTATATGAAGAGTCTCCTGTCACTACACAGTCATCTAAAACATTTAAAAGCAGTTGTTTTAAAGCAAATCATTTTTAATTGTGTGTTGTACCAACAGGTCCTCATCCACACTAAATATGTAAGTTTAAATCTGAGATAAATAATGTGTCTTCATGACTTCATAATGTGAAATTATTACAAAGAAATGAACTACATTAGAATGGTTAAATACAAACAACATTATTCTCTAGATAAATAAGAGTAAAGTTGCTAGACTTTGCAGTAAGGTGCAATATCCAATATATTCTATCTTCTTCAGACTATGTATTTCTTTGTGCACAGCAGACGATACAACATTATCAATGAATAGTATTGGTGATGATCTGTGAAAGCTTTAGCCTAGGTTATTAAATCATGGTGATTTGTCTACCTATGGTCTTTGACAGCGGAATAATATGAAATGCCAGTCAGCCACTATCCAAGATATTTCTATGACTGGAAAAAATCATGTTGCAAGATGTGACGTACGGAGAGGAATTTGTGCCAAATTGAAAAGCAGTTACTACAGCGGAAAAACGTGAAATGCAATGCACACGATATTACTTTTCTGCAGTGACATGCAGAATACAAAAACAGAATGAAAACCAAACCCTTTTTTACATTGTTTTCACGTAGCTTTATCTCTTTACTGGAAAACAATGTAAGAGAATTTGCATCTTAAAAATAAAATGCTGAATTAATGTCAGAATTAAATACAATCTGCTTTGATATGTAATGAAGGCACAACTATATTGCTTTTCTCTGTGCAATACTTAAAACAACGTTGAATCAACATAATGAATCTTTTACTTTTTATTTGGTCATGTTTTCAACATGTTACACTTTAATTCATGTGTGAATCGCATTTCACTGTTTTGGTTTCATCTCAATGAGGCAAATACATTTGAAATACAAAAAAGAGGTAAAGCAACATGAAAACAATGAAACAGAGGGTTTATTTTTCATTTTGGCACATATTTCGAATGTCACATATGGAAAAGTGTGAGGTGTATGTGCATGTGGGCATTGTATTTCACTGTCATTACATTTTAAAGTGGATTGTATTCAATTCAGACATGAATTCGGCATTTCGTTTTTTTTTTTTTTTTTTTATAAATGCAAATCCGCGCGCGTTGTTTCCGGTAAAGAAAAATGCAAATCCGGATGCACTGTTCTCCAACTACGAACACAAAGAAATAGAGGGTTTGGTTTTCATTTTGGCACGTATTCTGCATGTCACTATGGAAAAGTAATGCCATGTGTGCACTGCATTTTACGTTTTTCTACAAAAGTGACTGCTTATCACTTTGGCACGAATTCCTCACCATAGTAATGAAGGACGTTCAGTATGACTGACAGTTAAGCGACCATGAAAGTTATGTGTTTGATACGTTTGAAACATGAAGCAACTGGAAGTTGCATTTCCTCATGAAAATTCTTGTGCTGACGGGTTTTGAATTACAATATTGTTCTTACAACGTATAAATATAACTAGTTACAGCTAACGTTATTTATAAACGATAACAACTTCATGTTCAGGTAAAACGGTCATCATCATTTTACATAACTAACGTTATGTTTGACCAGAAGTGTGGTTGTGTTAGGCTGAACTAAAGCCAGTTTTGTCTTGATCGTACAGCAGTCAGATCAGGGAGAAAAGCAGCCCAGCCGAGTTGAGTCCAGCTGCACAAACTCTGCCAGCGCCAAGCCAGCTAGCTACGGGTTTACGAGAGACAGCTAATCGGCTAACGCGCTAACTGGCTGCCTAACATTCGCCGTTAACAGACAAATCACGCATTACCACCGCAAACGTGAACGTTAACCTCTTTTTCCTATGTCTGTCACGGAGCTATTCTCGCAAACGTTGTCTGTGTAGCGATTTGTCGTGGAAGGTTGCTGGTAGCTTAGCCAGCTAGCTGGCAGTTCCAGATGTACAACAACCGCGACGCTACGGTTAGAGCTAGCGAGGTAGCGAGCAAAATGCCAAGCTGTAAACCAGCCAAAATGATCAACCAGTTCCGCAACCAGTCCGAAATTAAAACTATTTCGGGTCACAGACACGTTTAGAGAACACTACTTACAGCTGACGAGGCTGTGCACTGCGGCTATCATAGCCAGAGTCGTTGCAGCACGGGTCTGATGAATTCATTTCAATCCATTTCTGTTTCAGCGCCCCTGTTCTTCCATCTACAGAGGAAAAAAGCCTGGCTGGCTGGCGCACAAATACAGCTTCGCAGAAAACTGGCCCCGCTGACGACCTATTTCCCATCATGCATTACACCTCTGGGGGTTTGTGGTGTTATGACAGCGCTGATGTCACAGCCTAGCTCGTATTTCTAATGTACATGTATAATTATCCGAAAAAACTAATATGCAATCATCAATGTACAGTGTGTACGAATTCTATGGGGAATCTTTTACTAGGCTGTGCTAATTATTTAAACAAACACATCATTAGACACAATTTCATCAGTGATTGACTTTTCGTGAAAAAATGGGTTCTGACACAGTGTGATCACATCTCACATCAACAATCAGGTTTTCACAATACAAGACAATAGTGCTGATTGTTCTTGTGCATGTTGGCTTGCATGACTGGGAGGGTATTGGCAGTATTTGGGATAGCTCTGGCTGATTGGGGTTCTTTGGCGTACCTCTTACTGTGCTGCAATGACATTTATCAAAGTTTCCAAGAACCAGTTGTGTTACATCCAAGTAACTGGCACTGAGAAGCACTGGCCACTGTTTGGGCACTTTAAAAGGTTAAATTAAACTACCAAAATATGTGTTTGTTTGTTTGCTTGTTTGTTTGTTTAATGTACACAACAGCAAACTTGAGATACCCAAGGTTTATCATTGGGGCCCAGCGGTATAAACTGGAGTGATGTAATCAGCAGTTAGACTACATATCCCCAGCAACAGGTAGTTTGGACCATGGCAACTGAAACATCTGGAATAAAACACCTGGATTGTGAACTTTAACTCAAACTTTAAATGAAAGGTGAGATCAAACCAAAATTAGGCTATGTGACCACCCACACCAATGGTACATTTGGGATTTATTAAGTGGCAGAACATTCTGGCCCGACACCAGGATCATTGGATATCTGAGCTCAAGCCTCATAAGCTCCTGGTGCCATCTGATCCCTAATACTGACACAACCTCTGTGGTCAGCAAACACAAGTCAACAACATGTTTTGCCAACATCCTTTATGTCTAAATAGGAACCTATGTGGTAATGCAGAAATGAACATACCGAATCACAAATAATATTTACTGACCATCCCAAACATGCCTGACAATTTGCAGACAAGTGCAAACATGAACGTGTGAGGTGGTGCGAATGAACTGTGAAGGATTTCATTTAGCAAAAAGAACATGCCCGATAACATGATAATAAACCAAAGGTGAAAAAAATGGTTTAGGGCTTTGCCCACCCCTGGTGCCACCCATGCCAAACACCTTGGCTGCAATTGGACCTTCCAATATAGTAACAGCCATTTCATGTTTTTAATTAATATCTGATTAAAGACTAAATCAGTGAGAGTAGTCCATACATGAGCTAAAGATATATAAAATGATTCTGGCTAGAAGAAATTGTTCGAGATCTTTTCTGTTCAGATCTCCCACCCTGTTAAAGCAACAATGCTTGTCAGTGGTTTTGAGTACTAAAAGCATGAATGAGGATAATTGTGAACCTGTTACTGGGAAAATAACTTCACAGATAAATATTCTTAAAAGTTCTTTTACAGTTAAGCGTGATCAGTTGTGTTTGAGCAGGTAAATCACCAAACTGTGCTGAAAACTGGTCCTCCAAGACCATTTTTTCTTATATGAAGACAATGACAGATCAATACTGATCTCATACCATTCAACTGAATTATAGCTGCAGCACAATTAAATAAAACGTAGTAAACAAACACAGTAAGTAATCCTTTTCAGGATTTGATTTTAGAGCTCTCAATACGTGTTTCTCTTTTTCTGGTAGCAGTATACTGAATATGTCGAAAAAATAACTTAAACATGACTTATTATTTTGAAATAATGACTTCTAGAAATTGACTTAATATCTTGAAATAACAACTTATTCTGAAATAATTTCAACAAAAAATCCACTCTGAAGATAATAGGTCAGAGAAAAAAATATTTATTTTAACATAGTATGTCAAAAGTTATTTCATTATTTCGAGAGAAACAATTATTTCGACATACTAAGTCAAAATTTTGACATACTGCTTCCAGAAACAGAGAGTGAGAAAAAACAGTCGATTTTTCTCCTCTCTCTGGTGGGAATATAAAGGAAACCTGTCAGTCAATCCCTGTTTGTGATGAAACTCTGCGGGTCTCCGTCTCGGCCTGAAGGGGGAGAGGTTCCCAGTTCAGTCTGTAAAATCACTGGTTATTTGCTGAGAAGAAGAACGGTTTATTCGCGCATGCGCTCTGGTGTTCCTTCCTTTTCGACATCCCGAGCGAGAGAGACAAGATGGGCCACCAGCAGCTCTATTGGAGTCACCCGCGCAAATTCGGCCAGGGATCTCGATCCTGGTCAGTAACAGCACCGTTACATACATGATAACGCTTAGTTTTTACCGGTTCGCGGATTTCATAGTCCGTCTCTGATGAAGTTTGTTTTAAGGCGAGTTGCATTGAGACCACATGGATGGAGCGCCCGAGCTAACATGGCGGTCTCGGTTGGGGCTTAGCGCGGTGCAGCTAGCTTAGCTGCCCGTCTCAGCTCAGGAATGTGATTTTGTGGTTTTTACAAGAAAAATGTTTTACCTAATAAGGTGTTTTTCGATGTTTTAAATCACGTAGAACGTGAGCCACTGATAGTTATTTCTTACGGTTTCCATTAAAATATAGGTTACATTTTAGGTGTAGCCGGTGAGCTACGAGTAAGTAGTCTCGGCTCTAACAGCTACTGGCGCTCGTTTGCCTCTGTGTCTAAAACTGATACTACAGTGCTGTGAATTAATAAGTAAATACATTTTTGTTCCCATATGAAATCTGAGTAGTTTGTTGGTACGCGCCAACAGTTGAGTGTGGGTAGCTAGTCGTGTTTCCTCTTGTAACATTACAGGCCTTCAGTTGTGGAAGTTGTTTCATGCATAACTGACATTTTTTTGATCTTCACAGCCGTGTGTGCTCAAACAGACATGGTCTGATCCGCAAATATGGGCTGAACATGTGCCGTCAGTGCTTCAGACAATACGCAAAAGACATCGGCTTTGTGAAGGCAAGTATTTCCTCTTCTTAATGCTTTTATTGTGTCCACAAAGTATAACAGTGCGAATGAGGGCAAGATAATCAGTACAGCATGTATGAAAGTAAACAAGGATGAACAAGTGACAGAAATAACACGTTATGTAGGGATGCAAGACCCCCCCCCTTACTGTTTCTGAGGGTGTTGGGGAGGATAGGAAGCATTTAACCAGTTGGTCATCTTCACTAGTTAGGGATCCAGTTTTTGTTTAGAGTGTAGAAATTGAATATTTGCTTTCAAAGGATAATTTTCTGAAGGTTTAAAGAGGTCTTCTAATTTTTCATTTCTATTTATTTTATTCCAGCTGGATTAAGCTTGTGGATTGCAGAGCTTCAGCCATGTGGAAACAACATCCCCCCCCAGGCAACCAAAATGACATCGTTTTGGAATTATCAATAAACACTTTTTTCTGGTTATAACTTTTTTGTCTTTCTTGAAGTACATACAAAAATGTATTGACTTTGATACCATTTATTTGGTCAGATTGTTGACTTAATGGTATTTTGTATATATTTAGTTGTTAGTCATAATATTCAGGCCTTCTCTGGTTTACTTAACATCCCTTAGATACTTTTGCTGCTCTACTTTTGTTTGGATGCACATAATCCAGAAAAACTAGCCTGACAAGTGCTTTGACAGTACCTGCTCTTTTTGAAGAACTCAGGTTGTTCATTCAGCTGTGAATTTCCTAGTAGGAATTGATTAGTGGCCCACTTTCCTAGATCTTTTAATAACATATGTGTACATGAGGGTAGGAGAGCAGCATAGAAAAAAAGATCAGGTTTGCTGTCATCAATTACCTTTTTCCTGCTTAGGATAATTGGTTTTATTGCTAATCCATGGCTGAACCTGTATGTTTTGAATTTCAGCAGGTAATATAAATCAAGTAGATATTTATGTGCAACCCATAATGCCTGCATATTCAAATCCTCTGTCAAAGCCAAATTTCAATGTTGTATAAAAACTACTAAAATTGATGCTTACTTTAAAAAATAGGGCATGAATCTAGAGTAAGTGCTTCTGAGAGGTTCTATATCTTACTATAGTACAGGTTTAGGCCTAATTTAGACTGTATAATGACAAAATATTGTTTTGGGCAATTTGTTTTAAGTAAAATAGTCCCTTAATTTATCATAATAGATGATTCACATCCAATTGCGTTGATGTGAAATTTTCCTGTTTGAAATGTTGCCTTTAATGTTATTTAAAGTCAACACTCTGGTAGCATTAGCATTTTTTGGCTTTCAGCAGTAAAGAAGTAATATAGAGATAAAGTGTACAGGAGAAGGGAGTCATTTGAGATTCAGCCTGTCTCTTCGGGTTATTTGTAAAACCTGACCTTGCTTTCTCTTAATTCTAAACAAAAACAATATGGATATAAACCTACACAAATGATCTGTGATAGATGAGCGATGGTTTATGAACCAAGGGTGTTGAAAAATCTATCAGGATTATTCAATAGTAAATTAAATTTTGCCAACAGCAAGTAGAGCATGAGTATTCATGTTCAAGTGGCCAGATGAGTCGGTCTTAAAGTGCTTGCTTCACTCTTGGTGACACAGAGGGTGTGTTTGTCAGGATTATGTTCCCTTGAAATGGCCAGGGTTTGTTCAAAAATGTGTTTTGTCCATCTCTATAAAAAAGTGGTAGGAATATGTAATCATTTACAATACACTTACTCTTCTTTCTCCTTTACCTCCTTTTACTACTTCTTGTTGTAATTAGTGTTGAAGTGTTCATCTTGCTGTTGTCCTCGAAATTCAGATTCTAGCAGGAAAATCTTTAAAAGAACTCAAAACAAGCCTGCAGTCAAAGGAGGTTGCAGTAAATTAGGCAAACTTATAATGCCTGCTGACATGCTATCCTGGGTGGTGCTGTTTTTTATTATTATTATTATTATTATTATTATTAGCTGTTATTTAGACTGTTAACACAACATTTTACAACTAATAGTATGGATCAAGCCTGGATCTAGCCCATTTAACTACATATAAATTTTAGATTATTAAAAAAAAAAAATCTAATTGATTTGTCCATGCATTGATTTCACACAAGATAAGAAATAAACAGAATTTTATCAACAGGATAATTTCTTTCTACAACCAGCCAGCAGGAACACTGAACCCACTGTCACAGAAAACCCACCGGACCTCTCAATAACCAATAGCGAAGCACTCTGAATTATGCCCCTCCCATTTGGAGCTATGCCCCCCAAACAGAAATCAGCTCATTGTCCATTTTACCAGCTCCACTTACTGTATCAGTGCACTTTGTAGTTCTACAATTACAGACTGTAGTCCATCTGTTTCTCTACATACTTTGTTAGCCCCCTTTTACCCTGTTCTTCAGTGGTCAGGACCCCAATGGCCCTCACAGAGCAGGTATTATTTGGGTAGTGGATCATTCTTAGTGTAAGTTCATGTAACAATGAACAATCTCATGAATATTTGACACAATGTAATTCAGTTTGCATTTTAAAATTACATAAAACATATGACAAACTGAGACTTGTGTGTGTGTGTTTGTGTGTGTGTGTGTGTGTGTGTGTGTGTGTGTGTGTCATGTTCAGTAAATAAGCAGTAATTGTGCATTAAAATGTGCAGAAATGTGTTCTCTGTAGAAGATGTGTACTTGGCACCAGTTAGAAAATAAAAACCGTAATTTGTCCAGGGCAAACTTTTGCATACAATGTATCTACACCAGCATTGCTCAAATCTAACATTGTCTGACATTGAAATCTTGATTGCCATCAGGACAGATGCAATCTATCAGTGATTCCTGACATTATTGCAAATCTGATCAAGCCTACTGTGAATTACACAACAGCAGGCTTTTCTGAACATGTCATAGATATTGTGAGTTAAACAACTGCATGTTTCAATAAAAAGAGCTTTAGGAGGGAGTAGCTGTCTAAAGCCAGATTACTTTTACCTGTGCAGGTGCTGCAGTCTGAGTGATTACAGATGAGATCTGTGATTTCAATCCAGTATGGTTCTGCATTTGTTTTACACTCTGATTGTAATAATTGTGGAGTGAATTGCCTTCTGGGACTGGCTGAACTTGAACCTGTTTGAATTTCCCTCACAGTAGGCTTGAGCAGATTTGTGATAATGTGGCAATCAAGTTGGAACATTTCAATGTCAGACAATTATGTAAGGAAACGAAGTCATTAGATGATCAAAGTCATGATAAATTTACATATAGTATACATGTTAGTGCATTTGAAAGGCTACTGTCCACTTTTTTTAATTTGAAGTAATGAAGTGGTGAGCCCCACGACCCAGAAGGAGAAGCAGCTTAGAAGACGTGTGTGTGTGAAGTGGTGAGAGACTTTTGGCCACAGCAAACTAGACAGAATTGAAGATTATAAATTTGGGAAGTTTTTGAGATTTAAAGGATTTTTTAAATGATTATGAAGTGCTAATAAATATAAAGTTTTGATGAGAATTTGCCAGGTGGACAGTGAGTGTTTTTGTCTTTTTGGGACTGTTGTACATAATATTTTGAAAATTAATGGCAGTAAACCCATGGATCTTTTTTTCTCAACTTCCGCCTTGTGTCAGGATACTTCCTGCCTAATTTCATGCCTCTGTGACTATTTATGCCATTGTAGTGCTTCAGTATTTTCAGTATTTAAATCTACATCATTTTTGCAGAAATGTGTCGAAAAAGGGGGGTTTTGGGCCCCCCCAGAGCAAACTGCCCTGGGGTTGAGGTTGCTCATTATCACCTTGTGATGGACCAAGATACAGACCAACAGAAAATAATAGCGAAGAAAACGTAGCAGAAAACATTCTGAGTGCTGTGTATTCTGGCCTTTAGACAAACACAGTGCTGTTAACAAATGACTGTAAACTTGCTCTGAAGTTCAGCAGTTTCAAAGATTTTCAGAAAACGTTCTCAAAAGTAGCAGGTGTTTTTCACCTCTATTGCAAAGTTGTTTATTAATCTCTAAAGCAGTCCAGAAACAACCACACAGAGAAATTTCTAACTGGATGTAATCCTGCAGTTTAACACTAGATGGGACAAGTGTTCAACATTTGAAAAGCTGGTCTGCTGCAGCTAAATACATTGGAAGATAAGTGGTGTGAATGACATAGTCTATGTTATATATACATGTGAAAACATACTCTTATACTGATAAATTGACAAAGAGCCAGAGCTCATGTCTGATTGTGTTTATGCCTGCTGACCGTGAAGGCCATGGCACATGGCTTATGTGGGTGAGCAACACATTAGTGATCTGGCCTACGCTACTGTAAGTGGGTGGAGGCAGGTTCACCATGAAGAGCTCTTCTCGCAGCAGGAAGGCAGATATGATCAGCTGGCACCATTAAGCTGTGATTAGCACTGACCTTGCCCTTCACAGCAATCAGTACAGCTACACATCTCAGGAATATGCTCCTTTCATTTAAACATGTAAAAGGCTGGAAGTTTGTTATATGGGAATGAATGTGTTTAGAATATGTTGTATAGCATTATATATACATTGTTTGTATTCTGTATTTAGGTTGAGTGTACATACGTATTTATCACATTGTACTGCTCTTCATTGGAAATTTAAACACTTTAGGAATTGTTTAAGCTGTACTTGTGAAGTGGGATGTCCATTTCAATCAGCTGCAATACGCATTGACATATACCATCAAAAATATTTCTGCTGCAGAGTTTTTTTTTTTTACAATAGCAAGACAAAGATAAAAAATTAGAAATGTATGAAAAACACTCAGTTATAATTGCTCTAATTAAAAAAAGAGAACAAATGAGAATAATAAAAAAAGAAAGAATAAAATGTAATAGAAAAACTTTAGAGAATTTACAAAATGGATAAAAGTACAGGTTGAAGGGTTATCAGCAATAAAAACAGGAAAATTCATCTCAATAGGTTTGCATATAAACACAAACCCACACATGTAAATGCTTAACAAAACTACATTAGGACCAAAAAGAAATCAGCAGACCTCCAAGAACTCCAAGAACCAAATGAGAGAGAGAGCGCAAGAGGTGGTGGGGGTGATGGTGGGGGGGTGGTGTTGAGAGCACTCTCAGGTCCCCCCCAATGCACACTTGGCCAAAGCAATTACACCTTTATACAAATTATGTAAATTAAACAAACCATGCATACAGTTGTGGATTCCTCATTACATATAAAGGCTGTAATAATGGCCACTGGGATTGGTCTACAAACATTACTAAACACAATGTCTGGAAGGTTCTCAAATAACCTCCTTAAAAGTCATCTTTCACCGTTCTACAATGAAAGAAATACCCAGTTCCACTAACAGAGGCTGTGCTGCCATGTCTCATAGGATAGTTTTTAAACTGGTACTAGTAAATGGTTTATCTCAATCACAATGACATACACGTAAACCAACATAGAGTCTTAGTAAGGTGTTGGGCCACTGCCACCCAACAGAAC